CGACCAAGAGAAAATATCTAGCATGCAGGAAATCAACGCCTTCCACCTACAAAAGAAAAAATCCAGACAAAACCAGTCCTGAACAATTTTTAACAGATAAATACGTCCTTAGACTTTAACAACATTTTAACGATGTTTTCAGGGGTACAAACGTTTTTAAAAATAAATCAACCATTATTTATTCATATATTTGAACTGAATGAACTAGTTTACAACTGTACAATTGTGTATTTAAGTTTGTGTAATGACATCAAACATGTGTATTTACTTTGATAACCCCATTTTCTTTCAACTAGTACCGCTTACTGTTGTGATTAACAGTTAAACAGATTAAATGTATAATTGTATATAGGGGAACTTAATAAGTTTTTGTAATCATGTTAAAGAGTAGTTAGAATATAGCAAAGTGATATCGACCAATGAAATTGTAGGATTTGACGTTTCTTAATTGTGAAAATGTATGTATAACATGTTCTTATCGTGGTCCCGCTCCAGTGATACGCGATTTGTAAGAATCGCCATTTCAAATATTCCAATACAATAAAAACTGGAAGTTAAAATATACTTTTGGATCTGGAATCAAATACAGTTGCAACTAAAAATTTGAAATTGTTAATAAGAAAAGAGATAATTCCTCACTATAAGATTACATAATTTATGTTCATAATCAAAGTAAAATATTTATACAATTTCTACCATTTCATCGTACTGTTGTGTCATCAGATGTCTTAAACACAATTCATAAAGATATAGCAATTTATAAGAAATTTCTCACAAAACTTAAGTAAGACTAAAATGAAATGCGGGAAAAGGGTAGTTATGCCTTAATTATAAACATTGCCCATACAATGAAACCAATTCTTGATTAAAACCAACCAAGATGTTTGTGCCTTGAACGCACTTCACTATTCTAAGTTTGTAAGAGATAATAAGAATGATAATCATTCTCTTACTAATACTTGTAATTTATATGGATTTAAGTCAGTAGTCATTTAGCAATTGATAAACATTGCAGTTTTTTTTCTTTGATGTGGAACAAGGGACAATACATATAACTTATAGTCCTATGTTTAATCGTAAATACCTGTTTGGTAACTGTTCCATTTTCAGAATTGTTACTCCTTTCCTCTTTCTCGTAGTTCACTAGCAGCATCAAACTTATCTTCTGGACAACAAGAGAACAAAATACAAGAAGAAATAAAAGTCCATAAATTATCAATTTTATGGCTCTTAGGCTACTTCTCTCATGAACATCTTTAGTTTTTTTTTCTCTAGGTATATTGTTGAATATATCCCAAAATCTAAAATGATAATAACATAAAAATAAAACCCTTTCTCTTTTTCCATCTACACTAGTCCACTCATTTTGAACAGATAATTGCATTATTGTAATGATCGTCAATAAATATTCTTTTATCCCAAACATTATTTGGTACTTTTTACACGTTTACTTTTTTTAGTTGCTAACCCTTCCGCTAAATATGAGATCACCCCCATTTTTTCGTGGGGTTTGTTTTGCTCAGTTTTTAGTTTTGTCTATGTAATGTTTAGAAAAGTGTTTGTTTTTTTTTTTTCGTTTTTTCGTAGATTGCCATGGCGTTGTAAGTTTGTTATCGACTTATGAGTTTGAATATCCCTCTGGTATCCTACGCCTCTAATTTTACAAAATTAAAAACACGCATAGTAAAATGCACACGGAATTCGCTTTTTTGTTGTGGCTATTCTTTAGTTGCAAAAATATGCAATGCTATATTTTACTTTGAATGTAACCTTTTAAATAAACTAATTAATACAAAGGTATATGCATCAAATTGTATTACAATATTCAAGTTGTAGTAAGAAAAAAACAGGATTTAAATGACGTTATTAGTAATGACAATTAAAAAAAAAGTCTCATCTACCGATGAAATACGTTTTTTCTATTCATAACTGGACGTACGGTTTTTCTGTTCTTTTAGACTCATTTTTCTTCTGTTCATCTGTATTAACAGTGTTTAGATAGGCATGATTATCAGGAATAGATGTAGCTGGTCCAGTATTGATGTCTTGTCTTGTTATCGAAGAACATTTCTTCTCATCGTTTATACGTTTGCGTAATTGTGGGGGTTCACTTTTATCGTGGCAGTTCTTTTGACTGGACGCATTATTGGGCCACATTCCCTTAGTTTTCCATCCTTTTTGAGTTGGGGTGTTAATGGGTGGGTCTTCGAATCTTACCGGTGTTACCTAATTAATGCAAAACAATGATTGTTACTAAATGAATTATACAGATAAATTTTAATCAATGACATCACGACTAACAAGTTTAATCTTGCTTTTTTTAATATGCGTTATAAATAATAAGTAGTAATGTAATCTCTATGTTCAAATATAAAAAATGGTATAAAAAGATTTACAGTATCAACATTTATGATTCAGTAATTTTTATATGATTTGCATATCTACAAATACTTGAATCGGATTGGTTCGTTTGAATTTTTCCCCTTACACTTCGATAGACATGCGAGATACACATGCATAGATCCATGGGTTCCGAGCAAATTGCGTTAGAAAAAACAACTATATAACTGTTAATTCTATTCTAATGCATAAAAAAAAGAAATAATGCAATTAAAGCTTGGAAATTGTATTAAATTAAAATCAAATAAAATATCGCGAATTTCATGAATAATCTTGGCGCATTAGGTAATGGCAAGACATGACGTCATGTGCGTGAAAACTTTCAAGCTGAAAGTTATTCCGTTACTTGTTCGATTCAAATTTAAATGGTATCTTCTTAAAATGAGGTTTTTGTGGTAGGTGTTATTTTATTTTAGATTCTATTGCATTTATATAACATTTATGGATTTCAGGAAGTCAATATGGCGGTTAACTCCTCAGTTACAACATGTCAATTTTCCATTTGGTGGTAAATAGTAGCCAATGGATAAAAGGTTTTTAATCAGAAATTGCTAATGTTTGGGTTAAGAGTTATATGTATTAAACACATTTTGTAGAGGTTATTGATGCGTAAACTGGGTCGCTGACTGACAAACCTTACATAAAAGTCCTTCGGACTTTTATTCAGCTTGTGAGTTAATCGCCCCAGTATACACATCAATAAACTCTAGCAAAAGTGTGTGTAATCCTATAAAAACAACATCGAGATTCGAATTTTCCATAAATTCAAATTATAATAAAACTACAAAAGTGAGACAAAACAAATTTACGCCAAAAGTTTTTGAAAGTCAAAGAAGCACAAATCATGAATACATAGGATACAAACTAAGGAGGAAAATATTATATTATGTTTAAACGTTTTCTTATAATCATTTATGATATCCTGATATCATATAGCAAGTTACCTTTATGATATGTTTGGGCGTCCATTCCAATAATAAATGCTAGTGAGCTTGATGAAATGTTTTTTTTTTAAATGACGTACAACAAGACAAAATTAAAAATTGTTCTCTTTCATCGTTACACCCATTTTCCTTCTTTTTTTTTCTTCTTTTCAAAAACTGGTAATGGAGAACGCAGTTTTCGTATAAAAACCGACAAAAATGAATTGTAAATAAATGTATCCACAATATTACAAGGACGTTACAAGTGGCATTTCGGGCCTAATATGTTTACCAAAATATTGTTTATAAATTGAACAAGTTCAGGATTTATCAATTTAAAGAGAGAAGAAAGATACCAAAGGGACATTCAAACTAATAAGTCGAAAATAAACTGACATCGCCATGGCTTAAAAAGGAAAAGACAAACAGACAAACAACAGTACACAAAACACAACATAGAAACTAAAGAGACTAAGCAACACGAACCCCACCAAAGACTGGGGTGATCTCAGTTGCTCCGGAAGGGTAAGCTGATTCTGCTCCACATGTGGCGTCGTGTTGCTCATGTTAGTACAAGGCCGATTATAAATCTAATTCGGTAGGTCACATTCGGGGAAAAGGGGACGGGGTTGTAGCTACAACAATTTAAACATATCCGTTGTCATCTGTGAAACAGATATTCCATAACGGTCAACCAACTCGTGATGGCGTCCGTAAAATTTACGAAGGGATGATTAAAACTTCACCACCTGGAACTCTTGGTTTAATATCTTTCGATTTTTTTATTAAATTTAATCGATTTTTGTCTTTCTTTTGCTTTTTTGTTTTTAGTAAATAGACTAATTGATACATGTTATAGCTATACTATTGTTGTTTTATGATTGCGTCTGCTTATTTTTAAGATAATCATCGGTGATTCATTAATCAAAACATGACTAAACTGTTTCTCAGACATTTTGCTAGACTGAAATTCTGCACAAATCTACAGTACAAATGTTGCTAGTCAGCTTAATTGCTAATAAAATCAGTTGAATGTTTGATATTGTAGTTTGATTTGATACCTTGTATTTGAAGCACAGAATAATATTTGATCTTCCTATACTTACAGTGGCTTTCATCTCGTCATTGCCTTTCATTTCTACAAACTCCACTTTTCTTTTCATTTTTTGACACTCCACTTCGCTTTTCATTTCTTTAAACAATGTTCTTGCTTTCATACCTAACCACATTTTGTGCACAATTTCGGATAATTTTTCGCGATGGTATAACTGCTTTTCTAGAAATAAGTGAACTGTTTCTCTCATGAAAACCTGCAATATCAGTATTTCTATCGAACATCAATAATAACATGTTGGAACTATGTATATACAAAGTAAACTTATTTTTTTAAACCGATATTTTTACTTGTTTGTGGAGTTTTTCGTGGTTATTTATCCAGTTTGGACAATAGTTAAGTAAAATATTCACAAGTTATGTATATGATTTTAATATTGAACATTGAAACAAATTAAAAGATTGTATTAATACCATCATGGAAAAGTACACATCATGATAGATTCATTTAGAGAAACATTGTGTGTTCAGGGATGCATAAAGAAGGACTAAATAGCGGGTGGTAAATAAATATAAAAGAACTTTGGAATTTTATGATGAAATATTCTTGGTCAATAGACTTACTTGATGTTTTCCAATTTTGCACTCTTTTTTCAATTCATCAGGTATAATTTTTTCTATTAACATTTTGGCGAGATGGCCAGGATTTTGCTGTTTTGCCTTAAAAAACTCCGAATTAAGGACAAAAAATCTGAAATGTATATTTTATTCATAATGAATTGGTAGACGTACGGACCTAATGGGACTGGTAATTGCCAATCACTGAATTTGATTAAATACGTCGCAATAGTTTAAACAAAGTATTCCAAGACTTTTAAAATCACACACTGGAAAATTCGCACATATACATTTTTTCTATCATGAAGAAAAATGATAAAAATCTTGCATTTTTATTTATCACGTGATTTTCCAGATTCCCGCCTTTCTTTCACTGACATAAGATCACGTACAAACACACGTATCCCATACCTATCCAGGCGGAAACCCAGTTGAAATAGAACAAAAGAATCGAAGCTCTTTGTTAGAGAAGGCGATAAATGCTGACTGTAATGTTTACTATAGTAACAAAATTTTTAAAAGTTATTAGAAACAAATAAAATGACAGTTTTCGGCTAAATTACGAAGTATTTTATCATAAAAACACAATTTGCATAAGTTTTCAATTTATCTATTACAAAATTAAGCAGAACAATTAGATATCAAGTCGACGACATGGGTGTCTATTCAGTTGGATCTAAAAAATGCATAACCTCCAATTTTATTTTTTTTTACCACGGACGGAGAACATATCAATCTATTTGTTCCTTAATTTTTGTTTCTGCCCTTCCATTATGTTACTCCAGAAAAAATTCAAAAAAATGGGTAACAATTGCACCGAAAAGATAAAATCGAGTGCACCTTTTTATGTTACGGCGTGTTTGAGTTAAATATTTTGTCTTGAAAACGTATAAAGCAATAGTATTTGATACATCATCTCGCTTCAGATTCTATTATTTTTATATATCAAGGCTACAGGTTGACTTTATAACATCGAAAGTTTACAGTACTAAAAAAATAGATATATGGGTCAAGTGAAATACCTTTCTAATGAATCACAAAAACAGAGTAGGTGTGTTCGAATAGCAAATATTTTCTAAAAGTACTTGACGACTGACTTTTAAGTTGGATCTTAAAAATGCATATCTTCGAAAAAAAATCATTTTTTGTGTGTGATAATTAGGGTTTATAGTCTTCAACCACTGAAAATTTTTAGTCTGCCCTTCCACGAAATATTTAATTAGAAATTTTTTAAATGTTTATGAATTTCCGAAAATTCCACCTGACAACCGATCCGACAATAGTTTTTAGTTGACTGAATGCAGTCAAGTACATTAACTGATGCTCATTAGCTAGTAGATACATTTGTCTTTTAAAATACACCTGGCATATAAGGATCGTAATGGTGCTATGTGGATAAATTTATCAATTTTCAAGAAGCTAAATTGGAAGTGCGTCATCCCTACAATGGCTTCCATCTTTACGATTGTAAAAATGAACTGGCGTAATGGGGAGATAATTTTGACGAAGTAGAATCCTGACTGTATCATACGTACGATTTGAGTTATCTTTCATGGTTTTGATTATGACAATTATTTGTCAATATACTTTGCAGATGAACGCCCCATTATACTTTTTTCTGTCCTTCTTTATAGTGTATCTATCTTTTTATTAAATTTGTTGCGGGGAAAATATTTAGAAGGAATATTTTTCTTACAATTTCAGAAATATCGAAACTAGAGTTGGTCGGAATGTGTTGAAAATTGAGATAAAACTATCGCTTCCATTTAATTAAACAAAAGTATTTTTCATTTAACTATCGCTTCCATTTAATTTCTTAACAAAAGTATTTTTCATTTAATTCAAAATATTGTGATAAAAAAATTTACCTATATATGTTGTTTTTAGAATAAAGGTGTGTTCGATTAGGGATTGTTCTGTATTAATTTGTTTAACGGGAATGGTATCGGAGTCCAAATACAAAAGAAATTTCCAGGGAATTTTTGTTCTACCCCTTGGAGTAAATGAGTTTATTGTATTTTATCCATTCTATTGATAAACAACTAAAAGGGGGTCACCGAATTCATTTTACTGAATAAATCATTAACGGAAATGTGTAAGGTAAGAAACATTGAACAACATGATATAATAAGATTTCGTTGATAGATGCGGATCAGGGATTATGAAAAAGGGGGGGGGGGCATAGGTAACGTTGGAAGTGGAACAAAAAAATAAAAGAATTAGGTGTTCGTTGCATATGTATTTAAATATGCATATTTAGGACGAGAAGATGAATATGAACCGGACTTTGTATTATACCGCTGGAAGACATGTCATCCTACCCGGACACATAATTTTGACCCCGGACCGACCAATATTTGCTCTAACTCCTAAATATTGCGTGCTTGGAGGAGATGCAGCCAATCGTCTATTTAAAACGGGCGAGGATCGAGCCCAAGACTTTTCGCACTCGAGCAGTGTTGTGGCTTTCATTGACGCAATGAGACAACTGCCTCACCAATTGTTTGACCATTAGAAAAGAGAGATAAAGAGAATTATATACCTGGTACGTCATAGTATAAAGTATACTAAGTGACGACGGTTCAAAACATTGACTGCTTTACTCTTTACTCACTCATTCCTCATTTTTAACGTCTTGAAAACTTTCTTTCTAGATGCAAATATCTTATTTAAGTATCAGACAAAGTATTCCTCGCAAAAACTGATTCAAACAAGAGGTCAAAACTTGTATGGTGCTTGATTTGTTTTTTACAAAGAACCAATTGTTACTTTCGGTGGACAAAATTTTAAACAGACACTGGGCATTCCTACATTTTATGTAGTACTATTCTACCTTGGTTAATATAAGCAAGACTTCATAGTTCACCCAGTTATTGTCTTCCATACATTTTGACAAAAGCTAAACGTATAAAGTTAAAAGACACAGTACAAAAGCATTTTAGAGGAGGTCATACATATAATTCTGTCAATTATTTTTGTTTTGATCAGGACGTGTCTAGCTGTAACTGAATACTGAAAATTAAACCTTTAACCAGCAGTTTCCTTGAAATATATTGATTTGATGCGCACTAGAAATAATACTTCATGATAAAATTCCACAAATCTTGATTTTTCATAGACAGGATCTTTTTGCCAGTGTGTGACCTATCAAGAGTATGGTCACCTACACATATTTTGCGATTCATATTTTCAAGTAACCGTCCACTCCTTATTGGCTTAAACGTCTTTTAACCAAGTTGAGGCTTTGACTACCAAGATTTAAATTATTTTCGTCACCAGAAGAAAAATTCAAGTTACACTTCTGTCGATTGATTGATAGTTGGTTGTTTAACGTCCAGTGGCAACTATTTCATGCCTAATTAATGTGTAGAGAGCGTGGCATTCTCTGTACAAGTGGCATCCGATTTAACGTCCCCACTCTGACCGGACGTGACTGCGTACTTGTACATCCCGCACAACCAAACGGACTACCCACTTTGTCAATGGTTTAACTGCCGATCGGAACAAGACCAATAGTGACCATATTTCTATTACCCCGATCACCTTTGAGGGGTTACTGTCGAGGCGAGCGCGCGACCAAAGAGACGTGCACCACTTAATCTGGGTCAAACTCTAATTTGGTATATAATTTTAAACGTTTTATATTTTGAACAGAACGGAAGGACGCAAGGATGCACAGACCAGTAAATATAATATCCCCTTGCTATCAAAAGTTGGTAATAAAACTAAAATGATCATCCTACTTAACAAATGTCCGTTTTTCATAAGTATTTGTAGAAGTTAATCGTCAAACATTTTAGAAAATTAGAAAAACAATTTAAGAGCAATGACGTTAAATTACGCATACGTTTGTACGGGCTCTTCCTAGAATCCATGCATGTCGTGCATTATTACTATTAAAGACAAGATATAAAAAAAATTAACTGATTCAGTTAAGTGTAATCATATTTTTTCTTGAAGATTCGATCTCATAAATTCCATTTGATAAAAATTCTACGGAAAGGTGACAAAGTACTATCAGAAAGATGCATCAGTGATCTGAATTTTTACCTTTGACAAAAGTATCTTAAAATACATTATAGAAGTATGCGGGAAAAAAGAAGAAGAAGCAACTCGTGTACACCGTTTACATTCCGGCGTGTTTGAAATTTTTGTTTTAATCTTATAACTTTTAAATCAAAAATGAGAATATGATCACGCTTAAGATTCTATTATTATTTTTTTTTCAAACTTAATTTTGATTAAGTAGCTTTAAGAATTCATCGTTTGAGAGATAAATATATGGGTCAAGTGAAATGACGAAGTATTAATGATCGGTGCATTTGATTACCGGTAACTGAATTAATTATTCCCTTTAAAGGTTGCTGTCAATGAAATCATCCCACATTTAATAACAAAATACGTAAAGAATTAAAATAGTAGTTTGTGCTAATTTTTAAGTAGTATCTATTCCAACAAATTATATGTTTTCAACGAGCCAAAAATTCATGCAGTCTATGCTCCCCTTCGTCATGCTTCAATACAAAAGGCCGAAATACGGTCAGATAGGTTGGTTATGTCGAGTAATGTCATTTTATTGGAAATCTCTATTGAAAGATGAATTAATTTAGTATAAACGTAGAAGTGAATACAAGTAAAATATATGTCTAAGACAATCAATGGCAATCATGCAGTATCAACTATTCGTGATGATATCGATATTGGTCAAGGTGGCAAAGGCATTTATCAAACCACTAATCGGAATGATGCCGCGTCATCGATATCAGTTTCAGTTGCACAATTGTAATGTAACGTAACGCTATTGTTACGTAGCGACGAAGCTATGGAATCATAACGCATCTCAACTAGCAAGATGTTATTTCATTTCAGAGCCTATCAAAGTTAATAACCCTTAGGATATTGAAGGCGTGACGAAAACGGAAAGAAGATGAGTTCGAAACTCAAAACAGTCAGAGCAGCAAATCGGCGATCAGTAAAGAAGCTGCTGAAGTAAGAAGTTCCGGCAAAAGAATCACAACAAGATGTTGTAAAACTATAATCCTGAATGAAAATTACAAAATAGTTGCCGAAACGGCAGTAAGAAACATCATAGCAGCACTTGCTGTAATATTTTACAAAATAGAAATTCAACTTCAAATGATGATAAATCCTTAACAAAACCTGTCCATGCGGATGCACTAAGTACTACAGGATTAAAGAGTGTCGTTATGCATTCTGCAGTTCGGCATCATGATGAAAGTGTTATGACTAACATTCTACTCGACGAAGGCGCCCAAAACTCATTTATTTCCCAAGAATTAGGAAGATAAACTACAAATCAAACCAAATGTTATAGTAAGTATGCACATTTCCGCATTTGGCGGAAAAGAGAGTGAGGTACGCAACCTGGAGAAAGCGACAATATGAATTGAGACTTAAAGCAAAAAAAGAATTCCAATGGAAGTAACAAAAAGTCAAATAGCAGAAATACCGAACTCCAAGGAAAATTCAAATCGGAAAGTCCAATATCAAATAGCAAAATCAAACGCTCAAACACATCAAACGAATGGAAAACAACTGTCATATTTCTGACTTGGTACAGGCATTTCCTTATGTAGAAAATGGTGGATTAAACCTGGTTTTATAGCTAGCTAAACCTCTCACTTGTATGACAGTCGCACACAATTCCATTATATTAACAACAATGTGTGAACAAAACAAACCGACATAATAGGTAAAATTCTCAAAAATAGGGGTACAGCAGTCAACATTGTGATATAATCTTAATCGCTATAAAAACAAACAAATATGTCAACAAAGAAAAACAAAATGGCATATAGACAAAGCACATAAGCAAAAATGAAAGACAAGAATACAAAAAATGACAACAGCACATTGGCGGGATGCATAAGTGCCGAGCCACGCCAAAAGGATATTACCAAACATCGACTAAACAGTAAAGGTTAATAATTTACAAAGACAAATAAAAGAACACAATAACACGTGATTAAGATGATAAACAACGTCAATATCTAGAATCTATACTTCAAGACCATCATGTATTATTTGTGAAGTTGATGCGGAATATTAATCAACAAGGTCTTGGTATCTTCCGATGAACTCTTTTTTAGAAAAAGGACGAGACGTTCTTTACATAATCCTGGTTCATCAATTTTCTGTGCAGACACTGGTGACGTTTTATACAGTCTGGGTAGCAACTGCAAGCTCTTGAATACCGAATGAGTTGGGAAATGTATATCCCATATGCAGGTATATTGCTACTGATGTGGGGGAAATTGATAATTTCAAAATTACAATAGTCTCGTTTGTCATAGATTCTGGTACTGAGATTACCGCTTATGTCAAATTCGAGGTTTAAGTCCAAAAATGAAGCGGAGGAAGCCGTGTCTGTTGTTTCTTAAATTTCTAGTTCAGGAGGATATATTAATGGAACCCAAACAGAAAAGTTTGGATTGTTAATGGAAAGAACATCCTCAATATATATGAATCGGAAATTAAATGATCTGGCTTCTTTGATCTTTTTGTTTTTGACAAGTGTCTGAAGGAACTCCGACTCATATGAAAATAAGCAGAGGTCAGCAAAGAGAGGCGCACAGTTCGTTACAATAGGAATCCCGACAATTTGTTGAAAAGGTCTACCTCAAAATTCAACAAATATTCAAATTCAAAAAATTCAACAAATATGTTGTCATAAAACTCCAACAATTGTTCCAAAAATTGCCGGACCATACAATGAGGAAACGTGAACACATCAACATTTTTTTCATATTCAAGGGGATAACAACTTGCTAACCAGTCACACATGATGAAAAGATCAATATTTCACTATTCGTTGGAGCAGATTACAAGTACTCTTTAGTACAGGAAGAAATCATTCGAGGTTACGGACTGACAGCGGTTAAATCCAAAATCGGCAATCTGCTATCAGGACCGATGAATACAGGTATTAACACTAGACAATGAAAATCTACAATGAAGATGTTTTAGTTGCACACAAACCCGAGGAGTGCGATTTACAGAAATTTTTGGAGATTGAGTCGAGTAATAGTAATAGTAATTGAGTACCAAAACTCTAGCATAAATTGTCAGGAATATAAATATGTCGTCAAACTATCATGGAAACCAGATCACCCAGCGTTACCTGCAAATGAATATGTAGCAAGAAGAAGGACCCATAATGTTATAGCTAGTTTAGACCCGAGGATGTTACATTTATACGATGAAATAATAAAAGAACAGGAGATGAAAGACTTCATAGAAAAAGTACCCACTACAGAAATCGATCGTAAAAATGGACGAATCCACTATGTAAAATATGGAATCACAGCAGACATAGAAAAGGCATGTTTATAAGTAAGACTTGAAAATGAAGACCAATACTCCACAAGATTATTTTGGTTGTCCGACTAAAACTATGCAACAAGCGACTTAACAATGTACAGATTTCAAGTTGCACTTTTCTGAGCGACGTGTTCTCCGTTCATTTTAAATGCGACATATATCTATGAATCCGAACGAAGTATCTACAATTCGAAAGAGAGACATATATGTTGATAATGTATTACAAATAACTAGCATGGAATCCAAAAAATAAGCAGTTTATTACTTCGAGGAATCGAGAGAATTACTAAAACAATGAGGCTTCGACTTACAATCAAAGATGTCAAATAGTTACAAACTGAGAGATGTGGCCCAGTCTGATAAAGTACTAGCTGCAGACAAGGAAATGAATATATTGGGTATGCGCTGGAATGCAGACTCAGATACACTTAACTTTGACAAAACGAAACAATTAGTAATTGACGTATTCGTGCAGCAAAAGTACGGACTTCTAGAGGATAAATTTCCCAATTGGGAAGTTATATCCCTTAGAACTATAGTTTCTGCATGGTGAATAAAGGACTGTTAAGTGATTTTTGTGAAGGACAGTAAAGGTTATATGAAATTTTACAAAAACTTCAATGTGATCTATTTATAGAACTTTAATTGTTTTGATTATTTATCATTTTAGAATAATTTAATTTCTTTTGCATTTTGAGGCCCCAAGAATAACGTGAATATGAGCCAAGATACTTTGAAACGTAATGTTATGTAATTGTTTCCAGGACTTTTGCACACACTGCTGTGCTACGAATCTATTGAATCATAAAGCACCTCAACTAGCAAGACGTTACTTTCTTTCACAAGTTAAAGAAGTTAATAACCCTCATGATAATAATAAAGTTTATATGATATGGCTTTTTCAATATTTTCAATATTGTATACGGGATTAACTATCAACGAATATGATTCCTCGAGCATAGCACTGGGGATTATATTGGTGCCTCTGGTTGATACTTATGTGCTGTTGAAAAGAACATATGGTATTCTTTATTAATAGCATATTTCAAGTGCCTATTCCTCTGTAATATTTTGATTTATGGGTTCTGTAGATTTGATACTGCTAGCTCCTTAGACATACTGAAATCAAAAAGTAAATTGACAAAAATAAATAAAAAAACATTTAAAGACAGTGGCGGGTCTAGTGAGGGCGTAAAGGGCGTACGCCCCCACCCCCTTTTCAAAACAAAAAAAAAACTATCGTAATCTGCTAATATTGTATTAAATATGGCAATTTATGCATTTCACAATTATTTTATTTTTTTTACGAAAACTATCGTAATCTGCTAATATTGTATTAAATATGGCAATTTATGCATTTCACAATTATTTTATTTTTTTTAGCAAAAGGTCCAAAATATTTTATTCTACGCCCCCTCTTACAAATATCATAGAAACGCCCCTGAAAGATATAATTTACCTCTCATAAAAGTCGGTGTGCCGTTTTCTGATTGGATACTCATTTTTCCTTATTTTAGCTATTTCAGTTATACCATTATATAACAGTTGTACTTTCACATACTGGCCACTGAAATTATCCTTTCGCTTCTGTTTGTTTGGCTTGATACACCTATGAATTAAATGAATAAATAGGTACACAAACATTTCACAAAATTGAGATACCTTTAGACATTCGTCGTAACCATATGACAATATTTCAAAGTTTAACAATCGATGCATCCGGTTGGCGGAATATAACAGGATTAACAAGATGTACAACGGGTGTTAATATTGGAGAACTAAGTGCTGATCATAACCATCTGCGGTTATCCCAGAAGTTATATATGGATTGCTATTTGTTTGTGTGTACGCATTTTCTTTACAACCATTTTACCTTACGGCCATCGTTCACAAAAAGACTTTTTGTTGCACTTACAGTATTTATAACTGTTCTCTCTAAAATTGAACTTATAGAATTTATAATTAAATAATTTCATATCTCAAAATAGTACTTGAATTCTACAGTGACGGCAACGTTTGACGTTGATATCAAGTTCTAGATAGAAAAAAAAGATAAAGCCACCTCCTCCAACATAATAATTCACTCATGATAGAAGAATCAATATGCTACAGGATAAAAGTAGTTATGTGCATTCATAACTCTTCTTGTTTGTTTGTATTCATAATTAAAGAAAAGGACAGAAAGCGCAAGTAAATTCAAACATTGGAAAGGAGAAAAATCCGCTATTTGTAAAACAAAAAGACATATCTATTAAAAAAAATACAACACTCTACATGGGTCAGTGAAAGATAAATGGAAAAAGCGGGAAGTTCATACAAAACCAAACGATCGACTATGTCAACTAAATGAACGAATAGAAAACAAATGACACGGGTTATGTTCTTCTCATATATTTTATGATGGTATAATACTAAACCCCTAACAGGAGGGATTGTGCCTGATATTCATATGATGAAGACATAATCTTTCAATCAGTTTAATTGAAGTCTGGAGCTACATGTCAGTAACTGCTAGTAGTCTGTTGTTATTTATGTATTATTGTCATTTTGTTTATTTTCTTTTGTTTCCTACTCTGATATCGGACTCGGACTTCTCTTAAACTGAGTTTTACTGTGCGTACTGTTGTGCGTTTGTTTTTTCTACATTGGATAGAGGTATAGGTGGAGGGTTGAGATCTCAAAAAACATGTTTGCATTTTTGCGTCTGTCCCAAGTCAGGAGCCTCTGGCCTTTGTTATTCTTGTATCATTTTTAATTTTAGTTTCTTGTGTATAATTTGGAGTTTAGTATGACGTCCATTATCACTGAACTAGTATACATATTTGTTTAGGGGCCAGCTGAAGGACGCCTCCGGGTGCGGGAGTTTCTCGCTGCATTGAAGACCCATTGGTGGCCTTCGGCTGTTGTCTGCTCTATGGTCGGGTTGTTGTCTCTTTGACACATTCCGCATTTCCATTCTCAATTTTATTTACTAGTATCATATTCCTGATTAAATCTAACAAAGACGCCAACAAGAGACATTTATTGTCGAAATGCACATCTGTTGCATTAAAATATGTTCCGTTCATGCTATTGGCATATATTTTACAAAGTTCACGTCATAATTAACATGTGCACGACATTTCATGTTGATGTGACCACAAACTACCGCAAACCAAACCTTAATCAATTATGGGAGGAAAGGACGGATGGAATTACAGACAGACGAACCCAATAAGCCGAACAAAAATCGTGTCCTTATACTATCGATGGCATTATTATATATTTTTCAATACCTAACAAAATGTGCCTCTGCTCGTTTCATTTTCAACAAAAGTTTGTCCATCGACTCCTGAAAAAAATTATTGTGCGATTATATTACAGATATGAACATACATGATTAACGAATTTTGGAGTTTAATTGCTTCACCTTCATGTGTGTATTGGCTCTGCCTTTGTTTAATATATTTTATAAACTTTAAGGTCAAGTTGCAGGTAATGGACTATGTAGAATAATACTAGGGTCACCAACTTCGTTTTTACGGTATACATCTTTGAAAGTGGTGTTCGAGGTGAAAAAATATCACAAATCGTCGAAATAAGCGTAACGTCATCGCGTTGTGTGCCGTAAAACGTCGATTATTGACGTCTTTCACTACCAACTAGGGAAAAGATTGGTTGTAATAACCGATATACCAAAAAGGAAGTCGCTGAGCGTAGGATTAATCTATATCATCAAAACAGAAATTTATGTATCAACAACACATAATTTTTTAATAAAAATCTGGATTTGAAATTGAAAATTTTATGATTTTGAGACAAACTAAAGAACGTTTTTCGCTGATTTCATGTGCTTTCTATACTATCAGAATGTAAATCAGAAATATTTCAGAAAATAAAAAGATAAATGCATTTTTTTCTTCTTTTCGGTAATTGTTCAAATAGAGCCAAAGTGGTAGGCAAAATTTTACCAAAACTTGTGACATAGCCCATTTACTGTTCCGTGACTTAAGCGTCAATCTTAAAATGTATTAATAATGCACGAATAACGATCTTGACATCATAATAAGGAGATTTTCTAACATATATATATATAATATCAAAACATTAAGTATCATTGTCATTTACAAAAAAAATGCAAAATAAGAATCCGAAGAAATATTCTTCGATTGACGACTTAAATTATATCTAAATAAGCATAAATACAATTCTGTTAAATATCTTGCTATTTCTCGGTATCTTTTGAAAAAAAGTGGAAATGAACCAAACAAATTATGCTACAGGGCGAATCTAAACACCGACATCCAGTGACTTATATACAATATATAATGGGGACAAATCAAAGGCAACGACACACTTGTATGAACTATCAAATGAAAACATATACGAACAGCAAACACAAATATGTAAACGTGTATGGATTTGTGTAGTAAGAAATCATAGTAAGACTATGAGAGACATCAGGGGCTCTAGTACGGTATTCATGTTCAGCTGCAATGTACTTCATCTAACATATTTACTGCCAAGAGGTCAAAGCCTTTTACTAGTACAGTAAAGATACAAATCGAACATAAAGAAAAAGTGTAAATTTGTCCGCGAAAATTGTGATAAGGCAACGTCATGGCAACCGTAATACTCAATTTGTTAGTTTATAAATTATGAAATTATAAAGAAACTTAGGTTTCAACTCCCTCAAGCAAAGTTGGCACTAGATGGATTTTGCTCCTTTTTTATGTCCTTTTTGGTTATATAGCTCTTCTACATCCTCGGCTTTCAAATATTCGGCTTTGAGCGTTCCTGATGAAGGAAATTCCAGAAAAGCGCTTCGGACGCATGAAATTAATATCATGTTGTTTTCATTTTTTTAAAAAGTATACAAGTGAAAATGATACCTTCATTAAGCCGTTAATTAACCAGTGTTCGTGTACATGTTTTAGCAAGAAAGTTTCTATAAATAAAGGCAACAGTAGTATACCGCTGTTCAGTAGTCATAATTCGATTAAGCAAAAACAAATCCGGGTAACAAACTAAAAAGGGAAACACATCATCTTTAAGAGGAAAACAACGGAACAACAGAAACACTGAACTACAACAAAAGCAAACGTCAACATACATAGAAACGGACTATAGCCTTCACAAGATCTCGAGAACCGAACTAGTTATAATATGTAAACAAACAGATATACTGCTACTCATGGAAACACATTACTACTGAACAACTTTAAGCATGTCAAAACTTCCCTTGATATCTTTAGATATTTCAAGGAGACTCTACAAGTCCATTTGGGTACGCAACATGTGTAGTTATATAATTTTATCAATTGTCAAATCCCAAAATTATTTTAGAATTTATGAAGTGATATACCGGTTATGTATTATGGAGTTTTTGTTTCTTCATTGTTTCTTCTTATTTTATATCAATTATTCACGATATATCCGCACATTGCACATTGACCTACCCTAAAGTATGAAATGACAGTTTTATGTTTATTGACGTTGTATCTGCGTGTTTCTGGGCCCCTCAGGTTAAATCTAAAAAGAAAATGATGTAAAGCATTGATTAAATACACACATACTTTGATTAAATACACACATACTCTCTCTCTCTCTCTAAAAAAAGCAGGTCATCCATGTAACTACTGATTTGCGAATGTTTTTGGGTTAATCGAAAGTAATCAGATTATATAGTACGTGAAAGGATTACATCAAAATTATGTTCGGTTAAAAGCATATGCATCATAATATTTATAAACACAAAACCTCAAGAACCAATAATGTCAGTTGAAACATGGAACGGATTATAATTGAAACACGCAATAAAACATGCGCAGTGCACTAACAACAGAATGACACTAAATTAAACACTGTAATAAAAACGGCAAATAATCTGTAAAACAGTTGAAAAATATTCTGTCTTACTACAGCAAGCTTGCTAACTTAACTACATCTGTTGTATTGGATACTGCCGGCAGACAAAAATCAGACGTATTTATGAGAGGCCAGTACGTATTTTAAACCATAATCATTGGATGATAGACGTAGGACATTTTCGCCGATTTTTTAAATTTTCAATCTTTCATTTGCGCCGATTTGGTTGTTTCATTTGCGCCGATTCAATAATTTCAAGTTCCATTTGCTCTTTTTTGTATTTTAGTGCTGTGCTTTTTTCGTGGCGTAAAGAGGTTTTATTGTCCTTTGATATTTTAAAGGCTGTAAATAGATTTTTATATCCTTTGATATTTAATTGCTATACTCAGTTATTTATGTGGATGTAACAGAGTGCTTTTAACCTTAAAATTTACTTGTTTTGCTCAAATACCTACTTCCACCTCCCACTGTGGGCAGGGGGCAACAGTTATATGCATGTTTTAATTGATAATTCATAACATATGTATAACTGGCTAGCGGAAGAGGTTTATAATGATAAATAAAAAAAGTTTTCACCTGTAATTTTCCTGTAAAACAATCGGCGCAAATGAAAGAAATAATCGGCGCAAGTGAAAGAAAAAATCAGCGTATGTGAAATGTAGATCGGAGCAAATGCAAAACGCCGCTTTTTCCTAATAATTGAAATTTGTTCTTTTATTCTAAAACAACACCTATTCAGTAAAACAACATCTTTTCAATTTATTTTGTTGGCATTCGAGGTATATGATAAAATGTAGGCATTCAAGAAGACACCACACGACATGCAATTGACGACAATAATGGGGAATCAAGTATATACTACCTGTCAGAAATGTCATGTATTCACCGGTACGTAATACGACTGGTAGCTGTTACATAATGTTTGGTTTTTTCATTTTTTTTAATACATAACATGTCGAAATAGGTCTTTAAGATTTAATAAATTTTTACTTTCGCAAAGATTTTCCTAGTTCTGTAGACAGCTGCCTGGCATCATTTGAACTCGACTCTCTCTGAACTTTCTTTGACTGTCGTAAATTGAAATGTGTTCTAAAATCAAGAATAAAGAAAGTGATATAAAAAAACAAATATAACTCTCTCGTAGATAAATGATAAGACGATGAAAATATTGTTGCTGTGTTTATAAAAATAAGGAGATGTGGTATGATTGCACCAAAGTTCAAATGAAGTTGATGTAAGCAATTATAGTTAACCGTACGGCCTTCAACAATGAGAAAAATCCATACCGTATGGTCGGCTATAAAAGGCCCCGACATGAAAAATATGAAACTATTCAATTGAGAAAATTAACTGCCTAATTATAAACAAAACAATTTACGAAAAACAAATATGACACACATGAACCAACGACAACCACTGCACTAGAATCTCCTGACTTGGGACAGGCACATAAAGAATGTGGCAGGGTTAAACATGTTGGTACTTAGTATTACTATAATATAGTTTTTATAACTTGTATGCATGTATTTTCCCATTATTATACACTTATAATTTAATTTTGGATGTAACACGTCTTCTGATTGGCTTAAAGTGTTTTGTCTATCAGCTCATAGACATAATTTTATCATTCATTAAGGTAAACAAGAGGCTCTAAAGAGCCTGAATCGCTCACCTGTATTTCAGAGGAGAAGATTTTTAAATGGTAGCAAACTTGATGAACAAATTGTGTAAAATTGTCTTTAAAGGGCTGTTCGATTCGTCTGATAATTGAGGGCCGATAGATCTTGACCAATTAAACAATTTTACCCCATGACACATTTGCTCTAAAAGATTTAGTTTTTGAGATATAAGCCAAAAACTGCATTTGACCCTTATGTTCTATTTTTAGCCATGGCGGCCATGTTTGTCGATGGATACAAATTTCGGATACACTTTATAAACAAGATACCCTAAGGAACATTTAGTTAAAGTTTGAAGGTAATTGGCCCAGTAGTTTCAGAGGAGAAGATTTTTAAATGTTAGCAAACTTGAACAAATTGTGTAAAATTGTCTGTAAAGGGCAATAACTCCTTAAGGGGTCAATTGACAATTATGGTCATATTAAGTTTTTTGTAGATCTTACTTTGCTGAACATTATTGTTGCTTACAGTTTATATATATATCTAAAATAATATTCAAAATAATAACAAAAAACTGCAAAATTTTGTTAAAACTACCAATTCGGTGGCAGCAACCCAACAATGGGTTGTTCGATTCGTCTGAAAATTTCAGAGCTGATAGATCTTGACCAATTGAACAATTTTACCCCGTGTCAGAATTGCTCTAAAAGCTTTAGTTTTTGAGATAGAAGCCAAAAACTGCATTTGACCCCTATGTTTTATTTTTAGCCATGGCGGCCATGTTTGTCAATGGATCAAAACTTCGGATACAATTTATAAACTAGGTACCCTAAGGAACATTTAGTTAAAGTTTGAAGGTATTTGGCCCAGTAGTTTCAGAGAAGAAGATTTTTGAAATAGTTTACGACGACAGACGACGACGACAGACGACGACGACGACAAACGACGGACGACGTCGGACGCCAAGTGATGGCATAAGCTCACATGGGACCCTTCGGGCCCCGGTGAGCTAAAAGGGTGGAAGTTACCAAGTAGACATTCAAAACTCAAGTCGAGAGAAACATAAAAGTCATTGCAAAAAAACGAAGGAGACAAAAAGACAAACAAGTTCACATAACACTACATAAAAACTATAGACTGAGCAAATCTAACCCCACCAAAACTTGGGGACCGGGTGTTGTTATGTCCTCCAGAAGGATAAGCCGATCACTACTAGTCGTCGTGTTGCTCATGGTAAGTACATATTCGGCGATGAGTCTTGTTCTGTGATGTCGAAGTAGAGGAAAATAAAACAGAGTTGTAGTTACAGCAATTGGAACATATCCGTGGTAATCTGTGACACAGATAGCACATTTCAGATATTGTGTATACCAAACACATTGTGTCATGATGGTTTTTAAATTCATACATTCTGTAAACATTCGTGTTGATAAAAGAAATACTTCTCAGAATTTTAAAGATTTCCAATGTTTAATAAATAATATTTACTCTGATATTGTGCCGGTTGGTCCCTTTTTGATAGTAAAAAGATCACTAATGAAATCATTTGTACTGTCCTTCATACAGTCAAACAAATCGTCGTTCAGAGTGTCCCTGTTCTTATCAAGAAATCCATGACAGTCATACCATACCTACAATGTAACAGCTTGAAGGTGTCGTTTTTATAATCATTGTGATTCGTTATTTCTATAGTACTTTGAATAAATGATACAAAAAACTAGAAATTATGTTGTTTTCATACATTGAAACTCCGGAAATGAATTTCATATTCAATGGTAAGAATATTCAAGTTACAGATTTTCATAAACATTTGGGTATTACATTTAGTAGAGATGCTAAATGGAACACCAATGTGGAATGTATCATAAAAAATATATCGAAACATTTGAATGCACTTCGAAAATTAAAGTACAGATTAAGTAGGAATAACTTAGAAAAACTATACTTGACTTTTATAAGACCGTTACTTGAATATGCCCGTGAACGTCGTTATACGTTTCCGCATTTTGGCACTACGTTTCCGCATTAAAATTCCTACGTTTCCGCATTTCTATAGTACTCTTTTCCGCATTGTTTTTACATTGATTTTGTTAAAAGTTATTTACGTTTCCGCATTTTAATTTTTAATGTATGCCTTTTCCGTTTGCAAGGTAAACCTGCTGCCCCCTGCTCACCAAAGGAGAGATAGAAGTAGGACTTCGAGCAGGATAAGTCTTTATGATTAAAATGAAACTATCAACTTAAAATGATAAAAACCAAACATGGTCATATATCAATTAAAAGTCAATGTTATATATACAGATAAATATAAAACGTAAGTTTACTATTATGCAGTACATGTAGCACAGTTTACATATTTGTCAAAGCGGAAAACTTGTAGCCAACTGACTTTATGAATACACTTTCTTAAATACAAGAAGTTCAAACACTGTGAACTTTTCGAAGAACAATAATATGCAAATGGAGATACTGAACGAAACCAAATAAGAACATAAAATTGAGTGTCCAAAAAATAAATCAAACATATGTAAATGAATATAAAAGATATAACCAAATACGGAATTCAACGCATATGGGGTGACTTTCCACATGGTGACTTTTGAAAAGTACAAAAAATGTACTCACAATGTTAAATCTGAATATAATCTACCTGTTGAAGGAATTATATTGTCATAATAAAATACAAATTAAGAAAAAATACTATAATAAAAATCTTGTATATCATTATTACCATTTTTTACAGGTGAAATACAGGTAAGAATGCGGAAAGGTGGTATCTATTTATTTCGGAAAAGTAATGCACGAAAATGCGGAAACGTGAAACTGGATTTTTGCTAAAAATGCGAAACATAATACGCCCGCCTGTGAAGTTTGGGATAAGAATTGTAACAGGTCTTCCCATTTTTATTAGTAGTAGAATTATTTATGATGAGATTGGTTGGGAAACTCTAGCTGAATGAAGAGAAAGGAGGAAGTTACATGTATTTTATTATATTCAAAATAATAATGCACCAGCCTATCTTTGCAATTGAATTCCGCCAACAATCCAAAGTACAGCTGTTTACGTAATGGGAATGATATAATATACCCTTTTTGTAGACTTTTATTGACCCAAAAATCCGTCATACCTATACGACTGTGGAATGGGTCCGTAGAAATACCGGAAAGGACCTCCTTAGTGCACTAAGAACAAAAATTTGCACTAAGGACCTGATGGAATGATGCAATTGTCACAAAGGACATGGCATATAGAAGTAGACTTTGTAAAAATACGTAATTTCAAATTTTATAATCATATCTTTTGTAATTAGAAAGTAATTTAATGTTTTATCGATACGCGCCACGGTTGATTATCACCTGTGTAATCGATAGAAATTCATGTTCGTTCAACCTTGACCCGTTTAGGATCCACTTGTTGTATACTGATTAAACATGTATATGGTATTTCAAATTGTTCTGGTTTTTTTTCGTTTGTTTGTTACTGCCGTATTTATTTTGTATTTGTGTCTGTTATATTTTTTGCTTCTATGTAAGTGTATTTTCTACACTTTTTTTTAAATTTTTGTTCCTTTTAATTTCGTTTGCTTCTTTGTTAAGTTAATTTTTTGTTGTTCTCTAGTAACTTTATATAAAGATATTTTAAAATAGTAAAAAATGTATTTATTTGTTTACCAACACATAAGAATACATTTTCAAAATATAACAGTTTATTACATTTTTAAAATATAACAGTTTATTACATTTTTAAATTATAACAGTTTATTACATTTTTAAAATATAACAGTTTATTACATTTTTAAAATATAACAGTTTATAACATAGTTTTTAAGTTAATTTATATTGATATACATATATAGATACACCATGTAACAGTAAAGTACAATCATTTGGCAAACCGCGGCATTGTTTTTGCAGCTGCACTTTTTGGTCTATGCCGTTGACCTGGCTTCCGAGCTAGACGCTTCACATTGGGAATGGCGAGTTTCCCATTTGATGAGGAAACCGTTTTGTCTGTTAAGGTCTTGTTTGCTAGTAGCTTTTTGAACAGTTTATCTTTTTCCTCGGGTGTTTTTGTGCCCCAAATGTATGGAGAAGTGTAGTATTTTTGAAACATTGCGGATAGTTCGTAATTTCCTTGACCATATATCGATCGCCTTATATCAATAAAATGAAGTTTTGTAACGTCGTATATTTTGGTCAGCAGTTCTGGCAGAATCTGCGGCTTCCAGTCTGTTGCAATTTTGAATCTGTGGTTCATACTTTCACAATTGTTGTTTGTCCACAATCGGTCTGGATTTGATAACTTTTTTAACGGTCTATTGCCGTGGTTAAATAGTCTGTTTTTCAATCTTTTGGTGTAATAATCTGTGATGATGGGGTATTTGTTGCACAAGTTTTCGGATTTTTACATGTGACAGAAATGAGTGGTACGTATAATACGAGGCGTCCCAGTGAAAGAATACAGGACCAACAAATATAGGATGATCGCGTGATGATTTTTTTACAACCTTCTTGTTTTTGTACACAAAGTTTGTTACATATGTAGGACCCAGGTTAAATGTTCTGTCAATGCCAAGTATGGATTCAGGGTCATTCTCTGAATGAAGTTTCATGTCTTCCATCTGCATAGGACTGTAGCATATTATGGACGGCGGCATATTATTTCCACGTGTATAAATAACTTCAGCTACAAATTCGTGCTTGTTTACCATTGCCAAGGCTTCCCAAACCTGGTCCGGTACGCTACTTGAACCTAGATTAGACTGTTTCTTGTCGTGGTACCGTTTTGATCGGATTTGCTGTAGATCTCTAGGGGCATTTTCTGAATCTTTGAAAACCATGTCTTTGTAAATGTCAATGTTTGATTTTTTAGACTTGATATCATCTTTGATCTGATCTAGCACCTTAGGATCTGTGCGTGTATAGTCATGTGTTACATGTTTTGCATTACCATGAGGTGCACTTGTTTGAGGATATTTGCCAATATATTCGACTAGTGCTAAATGTACACGGTCTTGATGTTGTGTTGGCAAACGATTAAAAGTGCTTACACGTTCTTAGTGCACTAAGAAGTCCTTTGCGGTATTTCTACACACCGGAATTCAAAAGCCAAATTACCAATGGCAATCGTAAACTCAACTTCATTTTGACTCAACTTAGATGCTCAGCTTCTTTTTTGAATTATGAACACACTTAATATCATTTCAACTAAGCGTGAATATTCATATCACTTCTTTTTAGTCAAGGGCCAAGTGAGCTTTTCTAATCACTTGGCGTCCGTCGTCCGTCGTCGTCGTCGTTAACTTTTTACATTTTTAACTTCTTCTAGAGAACCACTGAATGGAATGAAACCAAACATGGCATGACTGTTCCTTATGAGGTGCTGACCAAGAGTTGTTACTTTGTTGCTGATCCATTATCAAGATTGCCGCCAGCGGGGGACTTCGTTTAACATAGGACCCTATGGACAATACAAACAAATGTCTTCTTTTAGAGAACCACTGAATGGAATAAAACCAAATATGGCATGAATGTTTCTTATGAGGTGCTGACTAAGTGTTTTACTTTGAAGCCGATCCATCATCCAAGATGGCCGCCAGCGGTAGACTTCGTTTAACATAGGACCCGATGGACAGTAAATACAAATGTCTTCTTTTAGTGAACCACTGAATGGAATGAAACCAAGCATGGCATGAATGTTCCTTATAGGGTGCTGACAAAGTGTTGTAACTTTGTAGGTAATCAATCATCCAAGATGGCCGACAGCGGGGGACTTCGTTTAGCATAGGACCCTATGGACAATATTTACGGATATCTTCTTTTAGAGAACCACTAAATGGAATGAAATAAAACATGACATGAATTGTCCCTTATGAGGTGCTGACCAAGTGTTCTTACTTTGAAGCTGATCCATCATCCAAGATGGCCGCCAGAGAGGCACTTAGTTTAACATAGGACCCTATGGGAAATACATACAAATTTCTTCTTTTAGAGAACCATTAAATGGAATGAAATAAAACATGGCATGGATGTTCCTTATGAGGTGCTGACCATGTGTTGTAACTTTGCAGGCGACCAATTATTCAAGATGGCCGCCAGAGGGGACTAAGTTTAACATAGGACCCTATGGGAAATACATACAAATGTTTTCTTTTAGAGAACCACTGAATGGAATGAAACCAAACATGGCATGAATGTTCCTTATGAGGTGTTGATCAAGTTTTGTTACTTTGAAGCCGATCCATCATCCAAGATGGCCGCCACATATGGACTTAGTTTAACACAGGACCCTATGGGAAATACAAAGTATCACGAAGATCGCCGTGATCTCATCGAAGGAGACGTCGTTCTTCTAAAGGACAAAAACCGTTGCCGTACTCAATGGCCCATAGGAGTAATAGTTAACTCACTTAAAAGTTCCAACGAACAAGTCCGGAAAGCAGAAGTACGAATGCTCGTAAATGGAAAAGCCACCATCTACACACGACCAATCTTGGACATGATTCTTCTCATAGAGAACGATTGTATACAATTTTGCATTGATAGTGATACTATGTATTTATATAGAGAGATATTCAAGTGTGTTTTGTATTTGGAATAGTGATATCAGTTAGACATCAGACGGGGAGTATTCTATTTCGTATTTAATGTTTATTATATGTTTTCATAATTATCCTGAACAAATCGAACTGGACCGATTTCTTACATCACCGTTTTAATTGTACATGTGACTGCTTCTGTGACATCGTCTGCTCCAGTATTCCAACACATGTTACATGGACGACATTTAACCTTCTGAGGAAATCGAGACATACCACTGTCAATTTACCAAACAATCCACTGACTACTGTATAAACCTTTCTGGTGGAATATAATAATTACAATTTTCAAAACAAATTGTGTTCTTTATATATTCGCCGAGATTGCGATTCAGTCACCTGGTTAATCAGTTGAGTCCGGCTCAGCAAAATATTGGTATCAGATCTTTGATATTGGTTTCAAATCTTCGATATTGATATCAGATCTTCGATATTGGTATCATATTTTTTATATTGGTATCAGATCTTGGATATTAGTATCAGATTTTTGATATTGGTATCAGATCTTCGATATTGGTATCAGAATTTTGATAATGGTATCAGATCTTTGATATTGGTATCAGATTGTTGATAAGTTTTAACATTTTAACCACTTTTCTAGACACATTGGAAAATACTTTAAAGAATTTAAAAAAAAAAAGACACGACTGTCTGTAAAACATGAATTATTTCTTTTGTCTCTGGAAATTTGAAATTTATGGTAAATAAATGTTCATATGTACCTTTCCAGCGAAATGGCATACTCCGAATTCTGGATCGTCATTTGGTTTTTTTATAATTATTTCTGATTTAGCATGGTTTGTTGTAACTTTTCGAACAAAAGTTTCATCTGAGCCTTGCTTGAATTGAGTTTCTTCATCCAGTAAATTAAGTATCCCGATTTGCTTCTGATAAATAAAAGAAATAGAGGGAGAGATTGATAAATGTGGAGAAAGGAAATAAGAAAATATATATTTTAATGATATATCTATTCAACAGTCCTGCTAATAAACAATATATTCGACAACAGTACCATAATAGGAATATTGTATTATATGAACTCTGTCGCACCATATTAATATTATAAAGGTAAGACTTTCAAATATTCGTACTATTACACTCTGTATATGGCTAAATTTTAAAATTATGATATCATAATTATTTATAACTACATGTTTCTGAAGCGATAACCAGCGGGCATGCTAATTTTTTGTCATGTTCTACGGGAGTTTGTTGAAGAAAAGGGGAAAAACCCTATGCAAAGCTAAAAATGTTTGTCTTGATATCATAAAGACATTTTAGGTGTAATACCTTGACATAATTAATTTCAGACATAATTTTCTTATAATGATATGGACAGAATTGTGCAACAGGCACAGCCTCTTTATGTATGATACCGTCATTTAATTGATTTCAAACATAATTTACTAATCTACTATTAATAATTTAACAGGACTGAACAGCATGGCACTTTCTCTCAATGTACAATACCTTCATGAAAGTATCGATAATGTCTTCATTATTTTTGAAATCTATATCGTCACATGGAATGCCTTCGTCACGGTATATCGCTCTTTCTTTCCTAAACACATGGTCGTTCATAAAATTTTGAAGACGTTCATTAACGAAATTGATGCACAGCTGTTCAAAACTGTTGACGTGAAGATTCTCAAACCCAGCAATATCGAGTATCCCTATAGATGCAGAAACCTTGTTCCTGTAAGATTGGAAATAGAAAATTAATAAATAAACAAGAAAATGAAAAAATAAAATTTCATGTAAGTATATAAATTGTTTACGTAAAATAATGTACGGCGATTTTAAATTTTAATACACAAATACATCCTTGTAATTTAAAGTCCATATGAAAAAAAAACCCTTCCATCATTTGAGAATGTTCAAAGCTTACTATGGGGATCTTGTATATCATATAACGACTGTTGGTGTTGTAAACGCTTTTGTTTTGTATTGTTTCTTTGAAAACAATAAACCTCTCATTATTTTTGTTGTAAATCTCACAGAAATGAAACTATAAAAAATCGGTTCCAATGAAATGCTGTTAATGTTTTAGAATTCAATTTTTTCATATGATACTTAGGAGCTGTATATTTGTTTTACAATTTTAGCTTAACTCATGCCCTTTAAAACTTAATTGTTTGTTAAAATGACAAATTGGTTAAATACATTTCTATAGTTAAGATTAGTTCTCAACCAACCGCTGTAGTTAAATGTTGAGAGAAAAGACTAAATATGAAGCAGACCTTAATGTATCTGTACTTTATTTGAAGATGAATTAAAAAATAAAAAAAATAGTATTCTGTGATTACCGTATGAACAAATCATTTATATATCTGAATATGGAGTTTAAGGATAATGTTAAACTTTCTTGAAATTCTTCTAGAGAAGCTTTAGTTCGATGTCCTTCTTACAAAATCAACGTAATAGAAAGTTGTTAATTAGAATCATGGTGGATCATGGTAGATTGCATGGGCTAAGAATGACTGTTCCGTCTGTACATATGATATTTGTATCTACCTTACCCATTATTTGTATGGAATAAACTAATTGATTGATATTTTAGTCTTAGATACATGATTTTTAATTAGTTGTTATGGCCTGAACTCGCTTTTAGTAATTGCGAGTACCCTCAGATCTATACTTTGTGTCTTTTGTGTCTTTTTTTTGTGCTTTGTATCAATCTTATGAGTTAAGCCCTTTTCAACTGATTTTTATAGTTTGTTTTTATGTTGCACTGTTACACAACTGTCCCAGTTTGGGGGTGGACTTGGCGCCAGCAAACATGTTTAAGCCCGCCATTTATTGATTGTGCCTCTCCCAAGTCAGGAACCTGTAAATCAGTGGTTGTCGTTTGTTGCTGTATATCCTATTCATTTCTCTTATCCGTGTCCTTGATACCCTATCTAAAGTCAAACGCTCTTTGTTGAATAATACAAACAAAATAATGACTGTACATAGGCATTTCATGTATGGTATGCGGAAATTGAAAGTAATTTTAACACAACTGCGATGTTCAGCCTCTTTACTAGATAAAGACCTATTTGAATCAAATATAATACAGTCTACATATTGTGCATCTGGTGCTCCACTTTAGGATGCATTTCGTTTCTTCTTTAATTGCAATAAATACACCGATATATAAGGAACGAGCTTTTAACTATAATTCATCGTTTTCAAGTGACAACTAATCTAGAGTTGCTCACTGAGGGTAGCCAAAATTTAAAATACGAGGAAAACTGTGAAATCTTTGAAGAAGTCTTTAAATTCAAAAAAGAAATAATCAAAAAGATTCTTCGTAGTATAATCAAATAAGAAATAAACGAAACAATCACTATGTCCACAGAATTCCATTTATTTATTATCATTATTATTCTTTTTTATTTTATTTTATTTTTTTAATTGTGTTGGGTTTTTTTTTCAGACTCTGTGCAAATGCCTCTTTGAACTAATACCTTTAAGATAGATCTTCTCAACTGTGCATGTATTGCTATGTGTTTCTTTATTCTACATTGGCTAGAGGTATAGGGGGAGGGTTGAGATCTCACAAAACATGTTTAACCCCGCCGCATTTTTGCGCCTGTCCCAAGTCAGGAGCCTCTGGCCTTTGTTAGTCTTGTATGTTTTTTTAATTTTTGTTCCTTTATATGTTTTGGAGTTTATTGTGACGTCCATTTTCACTGAACCAGTACACAATTTTATTGAGGGGCCAGCTGAGGACTACCTGCGGGTGCGGGATTTTCTCGCTGCGTTGAAGACCCATTGGTGGCCTTCGGCTGTTATCTGCTCTTTGGTCGGGTTGTTGTCTCTTTGACATATTCCCCATTTTTATTCTCAATTTTATGCTCTGTATAATTGTAATTTATATTATGTAAAGGAGAGGGCTTCATAAGTTCGTTAAACTTGCGTCCGATCACAATTGTTTCTTTGAGCAAATACGATCGTCATAAATTATATTTGTTTTTCATCTTTTGTTCATAAATCAGACCTTTAGTTTTCTCATTTGAATTGTTTTACATTTGTCATTTCGGGGCCTTTTAAAGCTTACTATGCGGTATGGATTTTGCTTATTGTTGAACGTCGTACGGTGATCTATAGCTGTTAAAATCTACGTCATTTTGTCTCTGATAGAGAGTTATCTCACTGGCAATCAAACCACATCTTTTTATTTCTATAATCCTTATGATGAGTTTTTAGACTTAGAAATACATGCATATGTATAAAGTAAAATAACAAGATTACCGAACTCCAAGGAAAATTAAAAACGGAAAGTCCCTTAGCAAATGGCAAAATCAAAAGCTCAAACACATTAAACGAATAAACAACTGTCATATTACTGACTTGGTACAGGCATTTCCTTATGTAGAAAATGGTGGATTAAACCTGGTTTTATAGCTAGCTAAACCTTTCACTTGTATAACAGTCGCATAGAATTCCAATATATTGACAACAATGTGTGAACAAAACAAACAGACATAATAGGTAAATATGTCAAAAATAGGTTCGCAAAGTAACATATTTTGTGCTAAGTATTGTACATGGAGAGGGACTTGTATTATATGTATTTTGACAGATATGAAAATTTTTTAGTTGCACCAACTGATTGTAATAGTCCCTTAGGTAGATAAGTTTGATCTCTGAACATAATTGCTGAAAAAATAACTCTGTGGAAGAGATTTGAGGAGATTTTTGCGACGCAAAACAATACACCATCGTTTGTAAAGAGACTTGTGTAATTTGGAAATTCAGTAGATTGAACTAAGAATGGATCTTCAACTTTTGTTGAAAATCCCGAACATGAAACATAAAGATTGACAAGAACTTCACTTTTTGAAAGCGTTGTATAATTTAAAAAATAGTTACCATGAGAATTACTACTACCTAATTCATTTTTCAAGCCGATCATATTAATGAAGATTCTGTTATATAATGCAAAAAAACCTGAGTTATTGAGTTATCTATTATTTAAAGCTTTTAGTAAATTTCAGGCGTAGCAGTTTTGTTTTGTTTTTGTTTTTTTTTGTGGGGGAGCGAATAAGAAATAAGATTTTAAAAGAAAACAATACTGTTCAGTATTAAAATCCACAATATACTGTCGCATGCAAAGGAGATAGTTCTTGTCCGTAGGAAAAACTGTAAAATAGGCTACTTCGTAGTTCATTACTGTTTTACAACATAGAAATGGAATCTTTAAAAAATAAACCCAATAGCTACGATAAAAGAGTCGCGGGTGTATCAACTATGACGAAGTCTATATACAGAACACAATATCTCAATTTGTTATACCTTTGTTTAGTTGGGTTTAAATCCTCATTGATCCTTCTAATTACCCATCCAAACATACGCTCATATATAGCTTTGGCCAAAGCATCACAGCCATCTCGTGCTTGTTCTAGATTTTTCAAACAGTAAATCTGCTCACCTGAACAAAGCAATGAATCAATTTATTACATATCATATCAATAGTATCTAGTTTGTGGAAATAATATTCGATATCCCGTCACAGTATTTTTTTAATCATCTATAGTAATGATTCAAAATTCGGACAAACAGCACGCGCAATTTATAAAAAAATAACACTTTAGATGTACACGCGTGTTTAGTTTTAATGGGAATTTGCAGTAAATATAATGTGTCAAATGAGTGTTTTCTTGTTAGGATTTCTTACCAAATATATTTCCAAAAAAACATCTAACAATTTTCATTTGAAGAAAAGTCTAACACGTTTAGGAAAACATATGTCAAATTAATATACGCTTGAAACGTATTTCACATTTGTTCTGAAAATCGTATTTATAATAGAGATGTGCTTTAAGGGATAGGGTTTAATCTTAGATACCGTTTATTACTACTATGTTCCAACATAAATCTTAATATCTTTTTTATGTTTTAACTTTCCTTGTTTTATACAAACATCAGGAGATAGGATATGATTGCCAATGAGACAACTATCCACCAAAGTTCAAATGAAGTGGATGTAAGCACTTATAGGTAACCGTATGGCCTTCAACAACGAGAAAAACCCATACCGTATAGTCGGCTATAAAAGGCCCCGACATGAAAAATATGAAACAATTCAATTCAGAAAACTAACGGTCTAATGTATAACAAAACAATTTGCGAAAAACATATATGACAGACATGAACCAACGACAACCACTGAACTAGAGGCTCCTAACATGGGACAGGCACATACAGAATGTGGCGGGGCTAAACTAGTTTGCTAGCGCTAAACCCTCTCCCTAACATGGGACAATGGTGTAACAGTACAACATAAGAACAACTATACAAATCAATTGAAAAGGCCTTAACTCATTATTTAATTATTCTTGTTTTTATTCAAGACAATTTGTATTTTTTTCTGTAGTATTTTTTTAAAACATAGTCATCAATACTTTTAAAGTTTATTCACTTTGCAACGCTTTATTATAGAATTTATTTCATTATAAGAACGTTCTCACACTTTCTTTTCCACTTAAAAATCAGTATTTCAACAGACGATATTAATATAAGAAACAATAAGAAATTCATAAATGGAAGAAAAACGAACAGACCATTTCAAAAACACTACAAGAAAAACATAAGTAGCATTAACTTAAGATTCCTTCCAAAGTTGTGCGAAAGCGTTATTAACTCATAGAGTTGATACTGATTGTAAATAAAGTTGGAGAAAAAAATCAGCAACTATTTTGTTAGGTTTTCCAATTTCTATGCGATTCAAAAGATACTTATCTTATGAAAACTTCACTTGAAACTAATGCTTACCTCCTATACCTACAAAATTAATCATAAAATGATGTCATAAATATCAAAAACTAAAACGTTTCAGGGATAACTAAAAATAAAATCAAATGTAATCATAAAAACATACATTAGTGCCGTGTGGAGACAGTAGAGTGCCTCCCCGTGCTTCAGGTTTATGCTCTTATAATATACTAGATTATGGAGTGTGTGTCCGAGCGAGAACCTCTCTATGTTCATTACTTTAGGAATATTTATCAAAAATTAGTATTTCACATTCAGCCCCATTCTTCTATTTAGTCAGACGTCAGCCGCTACCCTGATATACCCTATCTTTTGTTTTATTTTTCGGGTAATTTATGACGGATAGCGTTTGACGTCTTTAGCCGAACAGTTTTATCATAATCACATAATTCAATTTATTGTGTGCTGGTTCATATTCTGGACGCCAGTCTTTGCTCCTTTCTAATAAAACGGGAGTTTCTCGCTGCATTGAAGACCCATTGGTGGCCTTCGGCTGTTGTCTGCTCTATGGTCGGGTTGTTGTCTCTTTGACACATTCCCCATTTCCATTCTAAATTTTATACATCCATACTCATGTGTATACTTAAAGCCTTATTAAATAATTTCCTTAAAAGTGTTGCCAGAACATACATTTACAAGCTTAATATGCACACATACATTTATATTATTTTATACATCCATACTCATGTGTATACTTAAAGCCTTATTAAATAATTTCCTTAAAAGTGTTGCCAGAACATACATTTACAAGCTTAATATGCACACATACATTTATATTCAATCTATCTTAAGTTAATTTCATGTTAACTGAAATTATTCGGAAAGCTAGGCAAAGTACTTTTGATATAAACCTCGATGCAAATTGTCTTAAGAATGTAGTCCGGTCATGTTTAGAAACTTTTGTCAGATGTTTGGACTCCTTGAATTTTTTCCTACGTTTACAGGGTAAAATATTTTGCCCCATTTCACTCACTTTTCTTTTCATAGAAGACTCCAATAGCTCATAAAAGGTCATTTGCCAAAATTTAAGCAGATTCTAGATTTCTTTTTCTTACGATTTGAGACCCAATTAATGCCAATGCTAAATATAAGGTAAAAGTCCGAGTCAACCTTTTCCCGCCATTTAAAAAATATTAAATATGTCGGAAAGGAGTTCCATAACCTATCAATATTTTTAGCTTATTTTGTTCCTTAACTTAAGCTCTTCTGACTAATAGTATCAATTTTAAATTCTAGACTTTTTTAAATTTCACCTAAGTACATCCTTAATGTTTCAATTCTAGTTGATGTGTTAACGGCATTGTGAATTTCAACGACAACTTCAAAACATGTTCTAAGTCTTGAGTCAACGTCGCACATGAGTACATTATATTAAAAATTAATTGGTCGTATCAACACTTACTAATGCTCTTCAACTTCCTATTTGATTTTGCCTTTCAACTGTTTTGATTTGCGAGTCAATGATGAGTCTTATGTATACGAAACGTGAGTCTGGCGTGCAAAATTATAAGCCGGGTATCTTTGACGAGTTTTTACATTATATTATGTGACTTATATAACGAACCTCCATAATCTGTCTTGGTCTTGATAAGTGCTAAACAAAGTTCTACTGGCTCTACATTCAGTAGCTGTGCAGCTATCAACATACAATAAAAGTAAGATAAATTCCGTGAATTCCTTATAGTGTTGTAAGATTTTGTAAGTTTTCTGATAATACAATATGTTTACTGTTGAAAAATATCACCGTCAAGGAAATCTATACATAAAACTATAGATTAACTTAAAATATTGTCAAATAACTCCAGACAACTATTATTCGTTTATATATAGGATTCGAGTCATGAAACTGCATATTATATCAAGTTCCAAATCCCTCCCAGGCAAGAAAAGTTGTGAATATATTTTTAGAGACCGCCAAACTCATTTGTATTCAGGTTAATTTTTCATGTCTTTGGGATGCTTTCTCATTGAGGTATACTTCACATCTCCTTGTATTCATAACAGTTAAGACAGAATAACTTACTAAACTTATTTGTTGTACAGATACTATTATCATTAAAAGCAGGTGTGAAATACTAAAGTGTTTAATGTTTAAGTTGGAGCTTTTATCATATGTGAATTTATTTAAATATACATTTTATGTCAAAAGAAGTGTTGTGCTACTGGTAAATTAAATACGAAATTAATGTATAGCACTGTATTTTTTTTTTATGTTGGAGATTTAAAAAAGTGTTTTTTCAAGCATTATCGTTTAAACAATATAATGCATGGATTTTCCTAGAAATGTTATGTAATAAAGTGAGTACCTTGTTCAACCTGGTCAGTGTTAACTATTTTTAGTGGCTCATTTGCTTTGTCTGCCTCTTGAAACTTCACTTCAGTCAAATGAATAATCGCACCTAACATGCAATGTAATATGTTTATGTCCTGAAAAAATATTATAATATATTGTAACTGATTATTAAACCTACTTTCAAATCCTTCTATAATTTACAAATGTTTTCCTTTCCTAAACAAATATCCCTCACAATGTATTCATACCTGATGTTAAATGGTCATGCATTTTTTGCAATGAAGTTTGGTACCCTTAATTTATGACCTAATATTTCATTATTACATTCCTGGCTAATAGGAAATAAATATATAATATGGTAATATTCAATGTTGATCCTTTAAAAGTCGGTACACAAACTTAAAGTTCAATTATAGCAATAAGATATTGAATGGAAATCTCTAGATTGTTTATATTGCACCTGCCTATACAGTATACTGTATTAAATTTGAAGGACAAATATATGAATGGATGGAAAGGTGTTTTAAGTCCTTAGTACAATCTTTCACCTATTCAGAACATTACATATATGTCTTTGTCTACTTCTTACTAAGTTGACAATTTATATTTTCATTTGACAGAAAAGACAGTTTCATATACTAGTATAAAGTTTTATATATAGACAAAGTCCCACAATATTTTGAAGAGAGAAAGAAATAACACAATAAAACAAACAACCGAATAAAACATGTTATTCAAAATAAAGAACACTTTAGTCAATACAAACATCCTGATTGAAGCCTATCCTTTTCAAGGCATCCATCTGTTGTGTGTATATTGTTCTGTATTTCGTTTTTTCTTCCAACAATTTAAGACACCCACAGTTCATGATCCTGAAAAAATAAAATTTCCCTTCATTTTTATCATTTACTTTTTTAATCAAATAATATAAACCGGTATTTTAGGCAAACACACTGAATGAAAAACAAAGTTGATATTACAACTGCAGATTTTGATTACTCTATCATATTAAATTACAATAAGAAGTAACAGATCGCAGTCTTATTCCGTTCAAATGGTTTTCAATCGGACGAAATTACAACCCTTGTGCGTAAATATCTTATGGGATTACTATTTTGGCATGTTTTCCGTTGATGTAAAATAACTTGAATTCTTTAAATAGTCGTGTGGCGTGTAGACTTCTTTGTTAAAATGTTGGTTTATATAATAAAACTTTTAATAATATTGTTTACCTAAACATGATGTTAAACGATCTAAATGATTAAGACAAAATCCACTTTCTTTAGAGCACTTAACCATGCTATGAATGCATATGTTTGATTTTGTTATGGTCATTGTTTTGAACAAATTGCTTCGGTTGGGGAAGAGTTGTTTTACTGACACATCCATTTTATGTTACTTATAGATCTATTTATTTTCTATTTATTATTTTACTGCATCCTATAGTTTTACAGACCTATAATCTTTGCTTTCCGATAAATTAAGGTCGCTCAGTTGTTGTTTACTGGTTCCTGCGAACAGGGAATAGAAAATGTGAAAATTTCCTTCATCTTTGTTGAAAGTAACAACTCTCGACTTTTCTAACATGTAATCACGAATTGCAGCTGAAAACGAAGAGATGTTATTATGTTATACAATGCTTTGTAACAAATAGAACAAGAAATGTTATAAAGTTATACAATGATATTGTAACGAATAGAACAAAGATATGTTATAAAGTTATACAATGATATTGTAACGAATAGAACAAAGATATGTTATAAAGTTTTACAATGATATTGTAACGTTTAGCAGCTGAAAACAAAGGTACGATATACAATTTTGTTAATTGCATTGTAGCTGAAAATCAAGATATGATAAAAAGTTTAATTGATGGTATTGCTACCAGCTGCATATAAAAGAGAGGTATGATATAAAATTTTGTTAATGTTATTGTAGCTGAAAAACAAGATATGATATAAAGTTTTATTGATGGTTATAAAAGAAAGGCGAAAAATACAAAGAGAAATTCAAAATCTATCATGATTATGCTCGCGTTTTAGTAAATCTTGTCAACTTGATTATCGTTTTCGTCCGATACTGTTGGGCACTATAGAGGCGACAAGTAACTTTACTTATAAATTGTCTCACATACCACCTTTTTCAATTGGTTTTTAATTCCACGTTCCTTTAATTTCATCTATGTTATGTTCATGGGCTCGGGATATCCTTTTTCTGCTGTTGGGGCGTACATTTTAAACGATAAATGAATATAGTATATTTAAAGAGTTGTTATTCGCACAATGCCGTATTATGCAAGCGAAATTTATATAAAAAAATACCGCGTTAAAACACAGGAAAAAGTATGCTGATTGAGGTGATAAGACATTATAAAAAAACCAATAACATACGGTAGAATGTTTTATTATCTTTTAATATGTTTAAAAGAGAGACAAAACATACCAAAGGGACATTAAAACTCATAAGTCGAAAATAAACTGACAACGCCATGGCTAAAAAAGATAAAGATCAACAGACAAACAACAGTGCACAAAGCACACCATATAAATCTAAAGACTGAGCAATATGAACCACACCAAAAAATGGGTGTGATCGCAGGTGCTCCGATAGGGTAAGCAGATCCTACTCCACATGTGGTACCCGTGGTGTTGCTCATATAAATACCAATCCGATTTAAGATTTAAATTTTGCAAAGCAGTCATTAAAACTCAGGGTTGCAAATCGTTATATATGACAGTTTTTTCCATATGTTCAGTTGGTTGATATAGTCTAACGTTTAATTTTGTGTAGTTTTATGGACTTCCCCTTTTTTTATTTTACCTTGGAGTTCTGTATTAATTTATTAATCTTTTTTTTTCCTTAGTAATGCACATGTTGAGTGTAAAGAGGTACTGCGCGTTTCATATAAAAAGTGACACACCTACAGCAAAAACAATAATTGTCGATATTTTTAAATAATTTAATTTTGGATGTAACGCGTCTTCTGATTGGCTGACGTTGTTTTGTTTATAAGCTCATAGACATAATTTTGTCATGTGACCGTGACGTCATCAACATTTTTTCATGGTTTACTCAGGTTTAAAATGGAATTTAGAATTAAATTATAAGAAATGACTGTAATATTTTTTCTGTCTATTCGAAATAACATAAAAAAAATGAGGTGCACTTTAAAATAACCCGCTACGCGGTTATTCAGTGTGCACCACATTTTTGATGTTATTTCTTCATAGACAGAAAAAATATTAGTCATTCCTTAAATAATTATATTATTTTTTTTACATTTTTGATTCAGTTATCCATTGTAGTAGTTAAAATGATTTGAGATAAATACCTCCGAGAATCTGTCCACTCTCGTCAAAGCTGAGTTCTAAAAATTTGGCAAATCGACTTGAATTGTCGTTCATTATTGTCTGGGCATTTCCAAAGGCCTCAAGAAGAGGATTAACCTGAAACAAAAATATACTTTAAACAAATGTCGAAATATCATAAGAAAATGTCAGACAACAATAGATTGAGACACTTTTAAAGACGTCAAAAACTAGCACATATACATATTTATAGTATATCAAAGATGCACGTGTGAACAAAAGTAAATTAACTAACTAAAGGTTTGTCACCATGAATTCGGGTCTGGAGAGATAACGTTGGAACTGGACGGTAAAACGCATTTATAAAAGATGGGCGAACGATACCAAAGGGATATTCAAACTCATAAGTTGAAAACACACTGACAATTCTATGACAAAAAAACAAAAAAAGATAAAAGACAAATTACAGTACACAGAACACATAGAAAACTCCAGATTGAGCAACACGAACCCAAACAACGCGTACTATTCAACTCATATAACAATTTAATGCATGGCAAGGGAATTTGAGGTTCTCACATTATTATTATTGCACATTTCTAAGCAGATAACCAAATAATAAACACTTGAAGATAGCTCAAAACTGCAATTTTGACAGATTTTGGCAAATTTTGAATATTCATCCCAAAAACGTACGGGAGGCAAACACAAATTCTGTTACGCTATAATGCTATTTATTGTCTTTCAGATACAAGTGAATTAATTTTGGTTAGCGGAGTCCTTCGATGAAAAATTTTACGAACACATTTTTGTAATTATGCATCAACATGCTTTTAATAGAAACATGTAGAGTTGAATAACATTTAGAATTTATGGAAATATACAAAACTGTTCAAAATTGTTTAAAGCATATGATGTTGATTCTTTAATATCAAAATTCCAGAAGGATTTTCAAACATAATATTTTGACCCTGCTGGTGAAACAAATTTAGGGGAAATTTGCCCTACCTCTTCCCTTATATAAGAGAAAGACATTATACTAAGTGTAAAGGAAATAGCAAAGGGTTCGAATGGTAAACTCATCACTCCAAATAATGACCTTTAAATGATCTGGTTGGCGTAAATGAATATCTGTATTAAAATTTATCACAGATATATTTCGTTTGCCGCTATCAAAATACCTATCTGTCCATTCAATAACCCACATTTCAGTGAATGCAATGTCTGCTTCATGTCTTGATTGTATACCTTGATATTAACATAAAAGGACGACTTCAGACTAGAATCAAAGACGTGATGATTAAACTTTCAAATTGTCAATTTCCCATTTCTCAGCAGTGGCATACCCTCTGTCCCATTGTATGGCGTTTACCTATCTCAATTGATACCTTGCGCTCGTGCATGATCACACTAAAGGGACTTCAATAGTAAGGATGTGCTCCATAAACAAAAGCTGTTTCAACAGAGTTATGAAAAAGAAAGACTAAAATCGCCACTTTGTAAGTTTAACGGTCACCATCACGAATTGGTTTACTGATACCATATGTCTGTGTCTTAACTCACTAGCGACATTTTACACATATATTTAGATACCAGAATAGTCGTCTAAACTGTAAAATTTTACTGATTCTGCCCTTTACCCAATAGTAACATTTTGACTGAGTGTGAACCCGCATGGCTGGTAATTCATGCATAGCAGGAGACTCTTACCATGTCGAATCAACTATTCTCGCTCCGAAGTGTTCATGATATTCCCTCAGTTTTTGTTTGTTAACTTGATTTATCTTCTAAATAGATTTATGAAATTTGAGCATCGGTAAACTACTTTTGACATAATTTATGACTTGATTTTAATATAACTAACATGAAACGTTACATACATGGAGAAGGGACAAGCTTTATCAGTAAACTACTTTTGCCATAATTTATGACTTGATTTTAAAATAACTATCATGAAAAGTTACATACATGGAGAAGGGACAAGCTTTATCGGTAAAATACTTTTGCCATAATTTATGACTTGATTTTAAAATAACTAACATGAAATGTTACATACATGGAGAAGGGACAAGTTTCTGATTCAACTGTGCTGGATTCATGGTACACGAACTCTTGTTTTATGATGAATGATTCACACAACCCTTCAAAAACATACACACATACAAACAAACATACCCATATACACGAAGATACGAACACAGATACACGTTGCCTTGATAACTTTAAACTTTTTTTAAATACAGTATTTTGTTCTTTAGAAAATATTCTCATAAACATAGATTCGCCATTATCAACATGTTACCTGTACAATTTTGTTGTGCAAGTCGTCGCTTCCATTTGGGCACATGTAAACCAAGTGCTTGACCATAAGTTTTGTGCTTTCTGTTTTTCCGGCTCCAGATTCTCCGCTGACAAGAATGACTTGATCAGTCTTTGCTTCTCGTATTCTTTGGTATGCACGAGCCGCAACATTGAAAACATGCGGTGGCATTTTTGCTTCAAATCTTTTCCAGTCGTATTTTTCATGATTCTTAAATAAGTAAATAAAACGTTTTATACTCTATACGATTATTGTTTATTTGGTTTTCGAAATATACAAAATGATTATTTCTTGTTTTAGGTAACTATACACATTTCTCTAATTGTATGCCCTTTATTATTTTTAATCCAATCTATTAAATTTCAAAATTCAAATAACATGCGCTGACAACTTTCTCTATCAACACTGACTGTAAAAAGACAACTGTAAAGGAAAAACATAATACGCGCTATTTATCAACCTTCGATGATATGCGAGACAAACCAAGCAAGTTAGAATTCAGCTACTAAAGAAATCCACGGCGTAAAGTATCGGTTGCGATATAAACATGTGTTTTTGCAAATGCAAACAATGCAATTTTAACATTGTTCGACGGATTCCAAGACGAACGTCTAAAGAGAGTATAACAGAACCAAAATACAGCAAAAAATAAATGTTAAATAATACAAGTTAATTCAGTATTTTTTTTTTTTTTTTTTATTTCAGATAGAAAAATCCTCCATCGGTATTTACTGTCTGATGTAAATGAAAGATGCATATGTATAGAGATAAATTCCCAAAGACTTAAACTTTAACTAGCTGTTGAGCTATTTTGTAGAATTAACTAAATATTTCTCCAGAAAACTACATTCATTACGTGCGTAGCTCTTTTGATGATATTCGGAGGCCGATTAAAACTTTTGCTGCTTTTCTTATAATTTTTTTTTTTTTTTTTTTTTTGTGCTTTAAATAGTATATGTTTCAAAACTAGTTTCTTCGACTTTGAGTCTAGTTTGTTCAAGAGTACGTTACTATTGTTCCCAAAAGTTCTCTCTCTAGTTTGTTTCAATTTTGGTTGTATACCTTCTAAATTATTCAAGTACTTATATATCCGTGGCCTTTTAATATTTTGGGCATTGGCGTTTCGAATGGTTATTTTTCATTACTATATGAAAGTAATCCATGATTGCAAATGAGAGAACTATCAACCAAAAACAAAATGACGTGAATGTAAGCATATATAAGTCACTGCACGAGTTTCAACAATGAGGAAAACCAATTCCACTTTAAGCTATACAAGACATTTGGCATGACAAAATTGTGTGACACACTAGAAAACCAAAGGTCTGATTAACGTTAAAACAATAAGTCAAAACAAATATTGCATACATATCACAATGAAGCACAAATGTTTTCGTCTTCTACACTCTCGTATAATACTCACTTCATCATCAAATATTGGCAATGTCTTGTATGGGTTTAGAGCCAACAAAATTTCACCACAATTTGTCTGAAATGTAGAAGGAAAGAAATACTGGTACGAAATGTAATTTTCGATTTACATAGTTAGTTTTTATATATGTAAACAGGTCGACTTGCCAGATAAAGTACGATATTAAGTTATTTCCACTCTCAACAGTTAAATTTTGATTATTTAAAAAGCTCGGCAAGCCTTGCGCTTTAGATATTAAAATTAAATGTCTCGAGTGTAGAATTATCGAAATTAACACACTTGTTGTAGTGTTGAAATTTATATTTATTATAGTGTACAGTTGATACATAATATTTCTGACGCTGCATTTAAAAAAAATCCACGACACCTACAAGTTCTGAACTGTTCATTTCTTCTCTTTTGAACAATGCTCGATTCTGTAAACTATGAGGCAAATCAAGCTGTATCAACATTATCTCATCCTTATAATGTAGTGTTAGATAAATGATAGAAAAAAAAAAGATTAATGTTTACTTTCATTTACGTGTAAATAAGATATAAATGTTGTTAAATGTTACCATTCGTTGACCACGCGTTTTTGTTTCATTTGGAGTCAACTGGTCTTAATCAGTTGAGTTTTAGTTGTTTGCTTAATGTTCAGTTAAATAGTCTTCTCTCACGTTTATATATAACTAGTCAGAGGGTGGCATTCAATTCAGTCAAGCCTCAGTCATTACAGCTATACGGACGTGTTTGGTCAACTCATTATTATCTTCAGACTACAGTGTGTAACTACTGTCAGATTGCTCAACAACTTACTACGTATAATTATAGAAACCAATTCAACGCTGTACATTCAGTATACACGTCCGCGTCAGAAATACGCTCCAAAACTCATTGCAATTCGGCTGTTGTAGATGGGGGGAGCGTTTTGTCCGATGACGTTCGGGTACCTTGTATTTGAGTGTTGGGTAGCCATAGAGGACCGTCACTTTACAAACCAACGTTGTTAGCGGGCTGCCTGCTGATCTATCTGGCCCCGACATTAGCAGTGCATATAAACCAAACCAAAATAGTAAAGAAACAAATCGGCTTAGTATGTAAAACCGAGATCGCCGCCTTCATCCAGATCAACTTTATCACCAATTTTTAAAGCTCACCAAACGCCCCCAATAAGGCACCGAGCCGACCGAAGGCTTTATAGCCAGTCAAGGTCATTAAATACACTCAACACTAGAAAAAGTGGGAATAATTTTGGATAAGACCGAAAAATATTGGACACCATAAAAGGATAATTTAAAGAGTAACGTTGTTGCACAAGTTTTTTTGGCGTTAATATATTCTAGAATTCTACGCGCGACATCAGATATAGATGTCCTCATGCATCCGGTCGTGGCTGCGTCTTTAAACATTCTAAACAGCCAAACGAACACCACTTTTAATTATGGATGGAAGAACTAGGTTACCATATTTCTATACCCCAGTCATCCTTTGCGTTTTGCTGCAAAAGGGTGAAAATGGGAATTTTTATTTTCCTTTTTTATGTCGAAGAAGAACAAAAAGAATTTCATAAAAAATAGTGAATTCAAGCCCTTGAGGTGACCTTATATGTATTGTAATACATTTTAAATAAGGTTATAACAAATGATCCAATATAGGCCTAAAGGAGTATCTTGTTAGACAAAAATAGTATAAACATGGTCTGTTTGTGCTATGAATAAAGTTTTAAAGGGGTAGTATTGCAAAGGCTACTTTAATAGTTATTTTAACGTAGAGAAGATACAGAGGATTCAACATAAACCAATAAGTTGAAAATTGGGAGTAGTTAGGTATGAGGTTTGAATCAAGCAATATAGTACACCGTTAAGGCATTCAAAAATAAGGCGTTCTCCGCCCACCATGACATCACCGGAAGTCAATGAATCACACCGGATGTTTGGTCATCCCGATGAATTATCCCTGGATCGACCCAACTGAAATCGTCTCTCCTAATTGGGTAGCTACACTCCATATGAATCAAAGACATCATCTATCCTTATAATTTGACACCACCCTCTAGTGAGTCACACAGGATGGTATAGGAGCAACCAATCAATAATCTTAGAAGGTTTGGCACTTACTTTCAATGACTCATACCGAACAGTATACGTCAATATACGGTCAGGTCCTGGTTGTCCACTTCCCTACCTCTTTCCACAAAAATTTAAGAAAAATCAAAATGAATAAATTAAAAAAAAATAATTTCAATTAAAATAATATTGTCATACTTTTGACTGATCACACTCATTTACCATCGAGAGACAAAACCATTGACGAAACTAGACGAACAGGCCACAAAACTACATACTAGAAATTAAGCATTGAGCAACACAAAAATCACAAAAAATGGGACTAATTTTCATCGAAAATGATAAGTTTATATTGACGGATGGGAGAACTCCATGTTACTTTTTGTGTTTTTTGTATTATTTTTCATTTTTACTTGTGTGCTTTGTCCGTGTGACTTTTTATGTTTCTTTGATACATATGACGTGTCTCTGTACTTTAAACATCCCACCATTGTGTTATTGTTCTATTATAATTTTTGCATACTTTGAACGACAAAATTATTTTATATCTCTACTTGTGTGACGTTTACATTCTGACGTCAAACACGTGATTCTACGCCAGAGGTAATGTTAAAATTACGATTCGGTCCCAGTGCTTAAAATCCCTCGATCCTTTATGGGTTGATTTGGCATACATACATAAAATACAAAAATAGGTAAGCAATGAACGAGGTTGTTAAATGTGATATATGCTTTTTTGTGTTTATTTGTTAAATATTTGTTTGTTTTTGTTGTGATTAAGATTGTGACACGGTGTTGACTGTTGTACCTCTATTTTGACATTTTTACCTATTATGTCTGTTTGTTTTATTCACGCATCGTTGTCAATATAATGGAATTTGATGCGACTGTCATACAAGCGAGAGGTTTAGTTCTATAAAACCAGGTTCAATCCACCATTTTCTACATAAGAAAATGCCTGTACCAAGTCAGGAATATGACAGTTGTTGTCCATTCGTTTTGAAAAATGAAACTTTTAAAGATAATAGTTATGGTGATTTGCATTTAACCTCCTTTTCTAATATACTAGAGTTATGTACTTCGTAGGGGTTTTATTTTTGTTGAGCTAAAAACGTTCCTCAAATTCGTCTGGTCGCCTTTTTAGATTAGTTCAAAGTTAAAATCGTCAAAAATCTACTTCATCCGTTTTTTTATAGTATGAAACCTCCAAAAAGACATCATATCCTTCAAGAAAGGAGCCATAACCAGCTAAGAAATCCACAAAACAGCAAATCGAGACGATATGGTCAGTTGCCATCAACACAAGGACCACGTACACTATTATTGGCCACGGTTTCTACTTACATTTCCAGACTGGACCACGCACATAAGATTCAAAATATGACAACCAACACAAAATCTTTCATTATTTGCAAAATGATGGAAGGTTTATGTAGGAAAAATTAAAAAAAAATAGATGTTCGAACGCTTTTTTGTTTAACATGTTAAAACGTTTAAATTACAATTAACGCAGGATATGCAATTCTCATTATGGAACTGTTGTCATCTTCTGCTTTTTCTCTTGCGTTTTTTTACGGGTAAGCGAGATAGCTAAAAACAGTCGTACTGATGTATGCGGACATGCTTAGAACTATGAAGATGTGACTTTTTTCTGAAAGAGATAGTCAAACAATATTGCATGTCAAAATATGGAGTTATAAAACCATTCAAAATCATAATTCTGTTACCCTGAACATTCAGAGGCAATCTGACACGGACATTTGTTCAATTCATCTATTATAATTTTACTTGCACGTTCGCCTCTCAGGCGTGAATGAGTCAAATCATTTATTTACACGTTTTAATGACATGGCTTTACATACTATCGAATGTGTTCCCTATTTCAAAAATGTTTGGGCTTTTGTGATATACCGTTTCACAATCGTTCTTACTCTTTTGGAATAGGAAGAGCTTCGGATATGGCAAAAAGCGGAGTTAAGGACTAAATTATCAAGCAGTGCGCTCGATGTTCTTCCGTTTTTTTATTTACGCTATATTCGTATATAAGGCCTTTTATTTGAAATACGAGTACACTTCTTTTGTTCTATATTATAATCAATGTTACCTCATTTTAGGTTCAAAGGAAAATTGGTTCTTCGGATCATCAATTGTTTACTTGGTACAGAATAGGGGAAACCGAGATATGGGGACCAAAAACCTGGTTTTCAAAGCAGGAGGGCCTACATACGCTGGTTTGGAAATAAAGGTGTATGTTGTGGAACGAACTTAACACCACAGTCACAGTCTCAAATTCAATAAATCGTTTTTCTCCACCGGTCATGACAATCTTTCAACTGGGTCCCAACGATTTGGGTAAAGTAAAAGCCGTTTGATTTAATTCAATGCATTGAAATGGATCTTCTGTGTCTGCAGTTATTATTACCTAACACTCTCATCGTGTGGAGTGAAATTTTAATGAGAATTTTTGGCATGCTCCAAAAGGTTAATAAGCTATTGAGCTCGAAAACGCGTTAACTGTGCTATAAACAATAAGGTCATTTGGAATGAACACTGTTTTGTTCGTCATCCAAATATACGAGCTCGAGAAATAAACTTGTATAGATTTGAAGGAACCCACTTGTCTGATACGGGATACGATACACATTTAAACTACATTCAAGGAGGAATAAAATCATTCCTATCATCACACAAAATTCGCTCTTTCCACGAAGTTTAAGTATTTGAAATTGACTACCAAAAGGTTGGAGGGGGCGAAATGTTTTGCCAAATATGGATATGGTCATCTATTCCTGGGGGTAGAAACAACTTTAATTTTATATTCTTATCGTTTAGAATTTAAAAAACAGAAAATTTACACAAAATAGCCATATCAATGATATTGTATCTAATCACCTAGTGCTGACTACTGTGCTAGTGAAACCAAAAGGTACAAAACGTCCACCAGCAGTGTCATCGACCAAACGGTTGTTAAAACTCATCTTAGATACCAGACGCGCTTTTCGCCTACATAAGACTCATCAGTTGTACAAGATGCAAAATATTGAACCTGTCAACGGATTGGTGTGAAAATAAATACCCTTTAAACTATTTTTTCTTGAGATAGGTAGCAATCCCCCATTCTCAATTCCACCCTAAAAAGGAAAATCGTAACGGTGTTTAATGCGTTGTGCATTTATAATTTTGCTATATACCTTTTCAATAGTTAACCAGAGACTTTACCGAGAATCAACAAATTGGTAAGTAAATTGGGCTTTGTGAGATACAATGAACTCCTGTAAATAAATTCTTCTGAAATACTTCGCTACTTTAAATTAACGTTTCGTTATGATATATTCGATTGTTAAGGGGTAACATATAGTTTATGATATAAAAAAATTAAGTCATACATAGTGTACGTTTGTCGATTGTACATCTAGAATTCATGATTAATACTTATTTTTATTTCAGATGCAAAACGGACTAATAAATATGAGTGCTACAGCATGAATTAATTCTTCTTGCTCATAACGTAAAAACAGAATGGTCGCGCCTTCATACTATCTCTATGTTGCATTACATTTAACTGTAGGTAGGATGAACCGGTCTTAAAACAGGATTGTACCTTTATTTACACTTTCACACGAATAAAAACACTTTCAATATTTCATATGGTTGATTGAAAATCTAATGAATGAATATTGGTTTACAAATGTAAACTATAATGTCCAGAAATTGAACATGATATAAATCGACAAGTGTGTGATGTAATGTAACTTGTAAGACCGATGTTACAAGAAAGGGATAACACCAAGTGACAAGTAATTTCATGTTAAAATGTTATCATACTTACACAGACATTAGTGTTCCTACATATTTAATCGAAAAAATTTCAATAGCAATGGAAAAACAACAAGAATTCACGGTTTGTCAGGGCCAAACATACCTCTACTCGTAATTCAAAGTATCTGAGGAAAACTGAAAGGAGGTGTCGGAGAGCAATCGAGCTGCTGACTAAAACTCAGTTCGTTCTGTGCAGTAGTTCTAAAGAAATATTTATAGTTTTAAGTTCATTTGAAATATTAAAAACTTCAAAGTATCGACAAACAAGAAGTAGTGTGTGACAGACCGGCAAATCGTTTTACAAATCTTCACTTTAAAGCTAATCACCAAATAGGAAATCATTATGTTAAGTAGTAAAGCACTGCGTCGGTACCACTGCTGGTGGACTGTCAGTCCCCGGCAGTATCATTAGCTCAGAAGTCAGTACTTCGGTACTGACATGATTATTTACATACCTTTCTTGAATTATCTGGTTATAAATTTAGAAAATTATGAAAAGAAACTAAGGTTTCAAAGTTGACCTCAGATGGGTTTGGCTAGTCTTTTTTTTATTCTTTTTTTGGTCAAATAGCTCTTCAACATGTTTGGTTCTTATACATCCTTGGATTTTGAATATTATGCTTTGAACGTTACTGATGGAGGTAAATCCAGAAAAGCGTTTCAGACGCATAAAATTTATAAAGTGTTTTAAATTTTTCTTTTTGGTAACACATACTGAAAAAAATGTACCTGTAACAAAAACTTAAAAAATTTATACTTGTAACATATACCGAAAAATAGCTGCATGTAACATATACTGAAAAACTTTTATTTGTTACAAAAATTCTTGTAATATAAACTTGTAAAATAAACTAAAAATAGAAATATGAAATAAGTAAACAATCAAAACAAGTTAGTATGATCGTCTATTACTGCCCTGGTTTAGATGATTTTCGCATACATTTACTTGACTATTATGTAAGATTTCAAAAAACAAGTAAAACAACAAGAAAGCATGGGTTGTCGGGCCAACTATACTAGTACCTCTACTCGTAATTCAAATGTATCTGAAGAAAACTGAAAGGAGGTGTCGGAGAGCAATCGAGCTGCTGACTAAAACTCAGTTCGTTCTGTACAGTAGTTCTTAAGAAATATTTATAGTTTTAGGTTCATTTGAAATATTAAAAACTTCAAAGTAGCGACAAACAAGAAGTAGTGTTTGACAGACCGAGTGTTTGCATGAACATATGTTTCTCACCTTTATATAACGAAGGACACTTTTCGAAAAATGCCTATACCAAGTCAGGAATATGGCAGTTGTTTTTCACTAGTTCCATTGATTAATAGCGTTTAATTTTGACAGTATTTATGGACTTCCACTTTTTAGCTCACCGGGTCCCGAAGGGCCCCATGTGAGCTTATGCCATTACGTGGTGTCCGTAGTCGTCCGTCGTCTGTCGTCGTCGTCGTCGTCGTTTGTCGTCGTCGTCGTCATCTGTCGTCGTCTGTCGTCGTAAACTATTTCAAAAATCTTCTCCTCTGAAACTACTGGGCCAAATACCTTCAAACTTTAACTAAATGTTCCTTAGGGTATCTAGTTAATAAATTATATCCGAAGTTTTGATCCATTGACAAACATGGCCGCCATGGCTAAAAATAGAACATAGGGGTCAAATGCAGTTTTTGGCTTATATCTCAAAAACTAAAGCTTTTAGAGCAAATCTGACTGGGGATTTAAATTGTTCAACTGGTCAAGATCTATCAGCTCTGAAATTTTCAGACGAATCGAACAACCCATTGTTGGGTTGCTGCCACCGATTGGTAGTTTTAACAAAATTTTGCAGTTTTTTGTTATTATTTTGAATATTATTATAGATATAAATAAACTGTAAGCAGCTATAATGTTCAGCAAAGTAAGATTTACAAAAAAGTTAATATGATCATAATTGTCAATTGATCCCTTAAGGAGTTATTGCCCTTTAAAGACAATTTTACACAATTTGTTCATAAAGTTTGCTAACATTTAAAAATCTTCTCCTCTGAAATACAGGTGAGCGATTCAGGCTCTTGAGAGCCTCTTGTTGGATTATGCCATGGAATTCGGTATTTTTGTTAAACTCTTTTATACTATTACTAATAATAAAGATGGAACTTATACCTTCTTCAGGGAACATACTCAATTAAATGGAAAAAGCAAAAATGTTAAATCATTTTTATATATCAATCATATGTGTCATAGAAACCTAAAAAATAGTTTAACGTTAAACTCCTGTACATATTTTCCTAGTAAAAGAATAAAATGTTTTGGAGATAATGGTTATCATTTTTGATAATTATGTGATATACAGAAACAAAATTTTTTTTTTTTTTTTTGGGGGGGGGGGGGGGGGGTATTAGTAGCTGGTCTATTTCAATGGATTCCAATAGATTCAAAACTTTACAGAAATGTTAAAATTTCAATATTTTATGAAAACTGCTTTGAACGGCAATAGATATGCGCTAAATAGCATTTTCATTTTAAATATACATGGAAAGTTTCTCCGAAATCATTCAAGTGTCTTATTTTGTCTCTTTTATAATAAAATGTTACTAGATTTATTAATTTTCGGATTTGATCTCCTGAGTGAAACAAATTCATGAGAATTTAACAGCTCATAACACCTAGGTTAGATGACAATATTAGATTGTTTAATATTAATTGAATCAACCTTTAAATACACCGTAGGATCACAGTTACATTAATTATCCGCCAGATTCATGATTTATTTGTAGATTTTGTCATAGATTTTCTAAATAGAAATGAAAAATAATAGTATACAAACATATCAATTCTGACGTACAATATTTTAAGCCTGGTATCTATGATGAGATTTTTATAATGAGTATTTCATCAAAGTTAGTTTCAGTAAGTTACTAAACTTTGCAAAACATTTTCATGATTCAATTATCAATACTTACATAAATTTCATCTTTTGCATATCTTGACCTCAACACTTCCAGAACAGAACCTTCGTCGAACTTCTCAAGGCATGATAAATCGTCTCTTTTAACAGCCATGTTAACACACCTCCTTCAAATTAATTAAACGTTTATGTTTCCATTATCAATGACATTAAGTCTACATTCATTTCCAAGAAGGGACGTTTTTAACGTTCTTGATGAAGGTATAGAAAAACCAATAAGAGCATTTAGAATTAAATATTTTTAGATACATTTTAAATCGCTGATCCATATATGACCCTGTATTTTGTTTTGTAACTTAATAATTCATGATAGTTGAAAAATATGTGTGCTGAATTTCCGGTATATTCCGATAGAACAGATTTCGTTTTGGGATTGAATTTATTCCTATCAATATTCTTTACACCATATTATGAATCGGATTCAATAACTTATGGCACTTTTGGTACATAATTTTCACACGTTTTTGGTAAACAATTTGATTCGATCTGTGAAAACAACTTTTTTCCACAAGAATAAAATAACCTAGCAAGCACTTCCTCTGTTGATGATTGACGTTTTAGTAATCTAATCATACTTTTAAGAACTTGATATGTGACAAGACAATTGCTGGCTAAGGATAAGTTGGAAAGAAATTAATATTTATTTCTTACTATGTGGCCCAATCAGCAAAATGAAAAATAACAAAAATACCAAACTCCGAGGAAAATTCAAAACGGAAAGTCCCTAATCAAATGGCAAAATCAAAAGCTCAAACACATCAAACGAATGGATAACAAATGTCATATTCCTGACTTGGTACTTGAAATGGTTTTGTCTAAGGTTTCTAATAAAAGTGTCAACCGATTTAAAGAAATTACTAGCAGCAATCTTTGATAATGTATCATGATGTATTATTTGCAATATTTCAAACTAATTATGTAATATGATAAGTAATTAAAAAAGACAGGGTGTATTATAACACTTTTTTTCTGCATTGCATGTTAGTTTATTTTATCAGTTGTTGTAGCTGTGTCATCTGAGAATATAGCATTGGGGCGTGTTTGTTTACTCTATTTGTAGTTTGTCTAAATAAAGATGGTTTTGTATCTTGTCGCAAAGTGTTTGTGCTTGATTAATCAGATACTCAGGAAAAACGAGAATATAAAAATAAGGAGATGAGGTATAATTGCCAATGAGACAACTATCCACCAAAGTTCAAATAATGAGATGTAAGGTTTCTTTTTGTTTATTGATGAAAAACTGCAAAATTTTTAGCGAGTATATCAACATTTGGATTGAATAAAAGCATATTTTAAAAAGGTTTCTTAAGACAGTAACCCGTCAAAACAATAAAGCAAAACAAATCTCCAGTTCAGAATGGTAAAAAAACTTTTTGAAGAACTTTTGACAACCTTTTCATTTTTTACAATGTTATCATATGGAATATTGTAAAAATTCAAAACGTGAGTGGTTAGTCTTGTTGTATAAATATATTAGATTTTGAAAGAAGCATGTGAAATTCAATAATCTTCAGATCTGCCCTATCAAAACATCGTATATTATTATTTGAAAATTCCTTCATCATTTTTCGTATCAATTGTCAAGCTGAAATAAAGAACTTGTCATGCACGATTTACAGATTCTAATAGCATTACAGATAAAAAAAAATCATATCAATTACAGTATTATATTTTGTAATTAAAAAAAGTACGTAACTACGTACTACTTAATGAATGATATATCCTTATATTATAAATGGTTGTTATGATAGTCGGTGTGTGTTAGTGTTTGTGACATAACTTGGTCTCTTATTATCACGGAAAACCCAAAATACAAAAAGAGAACACAAATGATAGATATTTTAAATAAAGAATAATCCTTCTGACTATAAACAAACAATCATACTATGCAGCACAGATCTTCAAATTTAATTAATTACACGATTTTTATAAAGAAATTTACATATATGAATTATAAGTAGAAGAAAGGCTGAAGATTGCAATAAACAATTGATTTCCCCATAAGCGACGATGGTAGCCTTTTTCGAGATACAGACTTTAGAAAGTTGCTTTTTTTAACGAAACCTTGCTAGGATTAAAGAAAAATTATTCGGACAGTATTTTTGTTCCAAAAAATATAGGTTCCCGTTGCTTTTCTTACCGTTATTTGTACTTGCCTATCAATTTTGCACTTAAAAACACGTGTCTCATCCTAGCGTTGAAAACACATCTCAGTTCCGTTAAGGCTGAGGAAAATATATTATTATGCCTTTGGTATAATGCAGAGTGCACGAAGTCTCTAATAATAAAAAAATAACGAGTGCACATATCGACCAATCAGGATTAGCTATACTTTTAATTCTGAATACCGTGTTATCTTCATAAAATGGCTGTGCCCATAAAATCTAATTGTTTATTGTAACCTATACGGTATTTAATATTTTCCAGAATCATGCAATTCATAGTGCGTTAGATGCGTAGATATATATATGCCACACATACATAATCATCAAAACGTTCTTTCATTACTCTGTGAATTTTCACAATTTTTAATCAGAGGTGACCCTAGTCTAAAAATGTGGGAAAAAAATTCCTGATTTTTTTTAGTAAATGCGGTACTGCTAAAAAGGACCTGAAGATAATGTCCACCTACTCCAATGATTCTCTATATGTCATCAAATACTGAATATATTGATACCGAAACCGATCCAATATGTAACTGCTACGGTGAATTTGAACATCAGTTTTAAATGAAACCATTTTCGTATAAAAGTACATTTTTGAAACAGGCTATAGCATTTCAAAACATAAAAATGTTAAAACATTTGTATTTTAACATTGAAAACTATTCTTTAACTTCAAAATGACATGCCTATTCTAATTTTTATAGTTTGCAATTCAAGTGAACATTTTAATGTTTGAAGGCACAGGCACTTGTCTCAGAAATTTTTTTTCCTATATACCTTAATTTAACACAAGGTACTTAATTTGCATTTTTGAAAAATGTCTGCCGGTCGTGAAATTCCGTTATATGCCGATTTCTCGGTTGTCAACCCCACTTAAACTTGTTATGTCGTAATTTTAAATTGATTTTTTTACACAATTGTGTATAACACGCCTACTTTTGATGTCGGAATCACCCGTAGCAATCCTACCCAAGTATGTCAATCGTAATTATTTCGTCGACATAATTTTGAACCATTCATCTTCCCTTGCTGTATAGAAAACAACGTTTAATAAAAGTATTCTATTGTCGGAAGCTAATGGTCCAAGTGAATGCTTGCAATGTGAAGTAGTTTGTTTAAAAAATAGGGCTTGAACATTTCCCTATCGTTGTCTTTTTTTTAACATTGATATTTCAACAAGTAGGATTATCTCCCTTTGAACACAACGGTTCACTCCAGTAGATTGTTGCACAGCCGCCGCCTAAAATAATGTTAATATATTGTTTGATTGACCTGCTGATTGTCGCTTTGATTAGCGTCCTGTGGCAAAATACAACATATTCAGGAAGAGATCAAATAAAACAACGAATCAAATAAAAATGTTCTGTACAGGACTTTGTTCGAGGACAGGAAATTAGGCATGTTGCTGGTGCAAGAAAATTTGTCTTGCAACAGGTCAGCAACCGTCTTTAAAAACAGACTGTAATAATGGAATTTATGTATTATACATACATTCGGTTATTCTAGTTAAAAGTTTCAATCACGTCCGTTGCAGTGCTTTCTTTGTCATTTCATATATAGTTGTTAAGATTATAGTTGTTAGGTCAAAAGTTGACGGTAACGTTCTTTTTAACTTTGAGCAACAAGAGAGCAGACGTAAAATAATTAGAGAGAGAAGTATTTTGAAAATCACGTGGATTAGTGGATATTTAAAGTTTATATTTTAAAGATATAGGCAAAGAGACATATGGATAATGCATAAATTGTTTAAATCAATCAATTGCATAAAATAAGTGTAAAAAAAAAATATTTCGAAACGGCATGGTCGCCACATTATGCCGTTTATGATATAAAAGAAAAATTATTGAATCACAATACGACTAAAGTTAAAAGCAATATATAATATTTTTGTTGTGATTATATATTTGGTGAATAATTCATCCAGTGATTCTGCTGCGGAAGTAATATTACTTTGTTGAACAGGACAAACGCACTCAATTCAACAAGAACGATACATACATCGTTTGAACGGCTACAGCTTTAAGATATATTGATTGAAGACTTTTAGTTGCATACACAAAAAAAAACGAATAAATTTAAAATAAATAAATAAATAAATAAATAAAACTATTTAGAAAAATCAATTTGTGAGTTTCAGTATGTTGATACGAGGTACTAGAAAGCGGACAGCTTCAGCCAGAGCAGGTTTTAGAAGGACCCCGGTGACTTCGCAGGGAGTATCGTCGGTGCAATCAACTTTGAGGGATGTAAGACCTGGTCGTTTGTCAGAGTCTATATATACAACTTCTGGACATGCCAACAGTATCAACGACAAGAAGGTTGATGCCAACACTTTCTCACTATCCGGACAACGCTTTCCACATTCCGGATATGTCACCTGTGCCATTACCATGGCAACCAAGACTGGCAAGAGACCCCCAGCCAACTTGTGATAACACAGAGTTTGTGGCACAAACAGGTAATGTGACCAAAAATGATTATTTCCCAGTTCCTAATAAAAAGTGTTCACGAGAATTTAGGCATAAATGTGACACTATCAATTAAAGAAAAGGTAATGAAAGGGGAATAAATAGATTTGGCTTGTCTACTAAACAATTCAGTTAACACAGGTTCTGACAAACAAAAACTGACATGGGTCCAGGGGGAATTCATTTAATAACCCATGTCCCAACAATCAAAAATCACAAATATTGAGAAATGGACAGATGCTTTCATCATTTTCATATTTATTTATTGTTCAGCGCACATAAACCGATTTAGGGAATTGTTAAAGTACATGCACACAATACGCCTTGGGGCACACAGAAACCAAGTTCTTGGCTGGAAAAATTACGATGAGAAATACAGACTAAGAAAAGCTCAAGAACCATCTAGCTTATGGAGTAATATAGACAATGAGCTTTGGTTATTATATATGCGACCTGTGAATAATATCTCAAATGTGTCTTTAAATGTATCTAATAGCAATATTAATGCAGGTAGTGATTATGGGAATAAATGCTATAGTTATAACTATGATGGAAGCTGTGGAAAAACACCTTGCTATTGTGTTTAAGGTGTAATGGTTCACATCCAATTATAAACTGTCAAAGACAATATGGAAATGTGAGACCACATGTTGGTAATACACAATATAGCACAAGCTCTCAGTTTCAGTTTGTGGCACCCGGGGCTCAGTACAGAGCAGGGCCCAGTTTCAGTTTCGCCCAAGGAGCGCTGACACAAGAGTCAGATTTTCCCCAAGAAATGCCATACAGTACACACAAGCAAGATCTAGTCCAAATATCAGAACTATGGCGACTTGGTAGAAGCCCTATTAAGATTTGTGTTTTGTATGATATGCTGAGGGCATATCTGCATGCAGGTGTAGCAAAAGAATTATATGAAGGATTTTTATTTGTTTTTCATTTGAAATAT